TCTGATCCGGTTGGTCGAGAGTGATTAAGGCGATGATCTTGTGGGTCATTTAGTTGGGACTAAATGTCCGCCAACCCTACCAACCTCCACCACAAAGCCTTCGTTTGACTTAGGCCACTAGGCTAACTGGTGACCCGTTCAGGGATCCTATTCTTACTTGTCTGGGAAAAGGCCCCGTAGTCCTTAGTCCTTAGACATTAGTCCCTAGTCCGTTCCCATGTGGGCTGAGACAATCTCTGAGCCTCTGGTTCAATCTGCTGCCTGGGGGTTTGGTCTTCTCCTGACCTTCCCCAGGTATCCCACTTATCCCTCTCGCCATTTTCACCACCCTCGCCACCCTCACCATGCATCGATCATGGAACAGCTGGTGTTCCCTTCAGCGGACGATATTGACTGTCGCCATTGGCGCCTGCGGTGTTTTCATCTATTTGATATGGTTTGGAATGAACTCGGACCGTGATAATGTCCCTCCGCTCCTCACACAACTCATCCCAGCAGGCCACTGCACCTGCCAATCATCCACTTCATTTCAATGCGCCGACTGCCTCACATGTCTCACCTCAGCACCGCCATCAGAACCAGATCACCTTGCAACTTGGAGTTTCCAGTACGGACGAGATGACCAGAACCTAGGCCTGAGCCAGAGTCAATGCCAGGCAGCATTCCCCGGCCTTTTCCAGGATATCCACCGAGGAGTCGAGTATTGGAAGTCGCGAGGCGGCATATCAAGAGATGATCTGAATGCGGTCCCATTCGAAGATGGCATGGCCCGCGCCATCATCTCCAATGGAGACTTGTACGTCGTGGCGACAAGAGCAAAAGGGGACGACCACCGGCGCAAGATAGTTGGTACCCTAGGATCCATCCATCGGGCGCTCTCCGCGTCCTCAAATCGTACCTCGCACCCCACAATCGAGTTTATCTTCTCGATTGAGGATCGCGTGGATGACGTTAACGCGGTCGGCCACCCGGTCTGGGTGCTATCAAGGAAAGCTTTCGAAGAGTCGGTCATCTTGATGCCCGATTTCGGGTTCTGGTCCTGGGCCAAGAGTAACATCGGCCCATATGGACAGGTCGTAGAGCGCATCATGGCTGCTGAATCCAAGCTGAAGTTCGCGGATAAGGAACAGAAGCTGGTCTGGCGGGGGAAGCTGAGCTTTGCACCGAAGCTACGTCGGGTGCTCTTGGATATTGCACGGGGGAAGCCTTGGAGTGATCTGAAGGAGTTGGATTGGAGCAAGAAGGCCAACTTCTTGTCGATGGAGGATCATTGCCGGTACATGTTTATTGGACATGTCGAGGGTACGTTTTTTTCACTTCAACTTTGCTGTACAAGGCTGACAGGTGTCGTCGATTTCAGGTCGCGCATATTCAGCATCCCTCAAATACCGTCAAGCCTGCCGGTCAGTTGTCGTGGCACATAAGCTGCAGTATATCCAACACCACCACTATCTCCTTGTCGCCTCCGGTCCAGAGCAGAACTACGTGGAAGTCGAGAGAGACTTTTCCGATCTCCCCAAACGAATGGACGAACTCTTGCAGAACCCGGACAAGGCAGAGCGGATTGCCAACAACAGTGTCAAAACCTTCCGAGAACGATACCTAACACCAGCTGCTGAGGCATGCTATTGGAGAGCCCTGTGGGAGGGATGGGCCGCAGTCTCGGCCAATGTCACCCGCGACGTTGAACGGCCGCCGGTAGACAGGGGACTTCGGTATGAATCTTTTGTGTTGATGGACAGTAACGATATGTTCAAGTATTCATTTGGTTCGGAGTAAAGGAATGTCTGGATATGTATATATGATATAATAGTCGATATGATCGATAGATGAAAGGCAAATATCATGATACGATTGCCTTGCAGGTTACCATCAGCTGTTCGTAAGCACTATAAGTTAACCTCCCTTGTTGAACTGATCTGACAGCGATGCAGCACCATGTGGCTCGGTCGTCTATAATACGACGGATATACAAGGGATAGTGGATTGTATTCATTGAGGCCATTGGGTTATGCGTCCAAGACTTTAATGATCAAAGAGAGTATAGGAGGCGAGGCTTCAAGGATGGTTGATGAATAACTGCGGAAATATATATACCGTTACCAATTAGAGAACGACGTTATAAAGTGACTTTACCAAGACTCGGGACACTCCATAAGATGATATTGATAGTTTGAGATATAATAGTGATTTCTCTTAATACTCTGAGTTGACTGCAGAGTAGCGACAAAATGTGATGTTTTTAGTGGAGGGGGCGAAGGGAAAAAAAAGATGACCTACGCAGGATTCGAACCTGCAATCTCTTGATCCGTAGTCAAGCGCCTTACCATTGGGCCAGCAGGCCTGGTTGTTGCAATAAATACACATTTTGGCTTGATGAACCAGAAATTACTTAGACTGCTTAGGCATAGGTGTGATGCATTCGTGTTCCTCTTCTATAATCTGATGTACACTCTTGATATCGATGTTTGGTCTACCACCCTTATCGAAGGTAAATTAAATACATTGCTACCATTTGGGTCGGCTGCTTATTCAATCATCGCGATGTGGATAACCTTGGCCCTGTGTCCTTTCGACTATTTATCCACATGTTTCTCGTATAACAACCTCCCTCTTTGGCTAGAGCTAAAGTCCAACTACGCTTTCCAGAGTGCCTAAATTGGCTAGAGAACAGCCATCTAAGGAACAACCGCCATGGTCTGTGGCTGTTCACGAGACGGTGAAACACACTAAGCATTTAGTCTCCAGGCACCTTTATTACTCTATATTTCGCCTTTTTATAGAAATGTGTCTTTGATGTCGATAGATCGTACGCAGCTAAGGTGGGATAGATGTGCCCTACCTGGTCTCGATGTTGAGACCACATATATAACTCTGCCAGCTCACTAAAGACAATGAGTCTGCGTCGATAACAATCTAGCTACTATCCGTATAGTGCCATCATGGATCCCTCGACATTCATCGACCCTTATTTGACCCTTCCTGATCAATTGGTGCTGCAGGAGCTGCTCAAGAATGAAGACGCAAAAAGTGTATATCCAATACCCCCATAGTTCAACAGACAACTGACCGCGAGTAGGCAAATCCTCAAAAACATCCGACACTGTCCAAACGCTACAGTGTCTGAACAACCCCAAGGAAGTAGGGTTCGATCCCACAGTCTTCCAGTTCTGGGACACCCATCAGTTGCGCACCCAACTGCCTCCGTTCGTCCGGAAGTATGCCCTGGATCTCTATATCGCCTGGGCCCAGGAAATTGCCCGGTACCCTACAGACGTGGTGATGGTCACTCATCTGTTGATCTACTTTGGCATGTCTATTCCCAGCGCCGTCTGGCTGCACTGCTATCACTTCAACTGGATCCACGGGTTGCTGCACTGGATATTACATGTCTGGTTCGCAGGCACATACACACTCATGAAGCATCAATATGTCCATATGAACGGCGTCCTCGCCCCAAAGTATCGCGTATTCGACAGACTGTTTCCCTACCTCGTGGATCCGCTGGTGGGCCACACCTGGAACTCATACTACTATCACCACGTCAAGCATCATCACGTTGAGGGCAATGGGCCGGCAGACCTCAACTCGACCATGTGGTATGACCGCGACTCGATCACGGATTTTGCCTGCTACGTCGGCCGCTTCTTTTTTCTCATCTGGCTGGACCTGCCCCTGTATTTTCTGCGGACGGGCAAGAAGAAGTATGCTCTCAAGACGGCGCTGTGGGAGGGCAGCAACTACTTCTTCATCTACCTGATGTGGAGATATGTTAACCCTCGCGCCGCCTTTTGTGTGTTTGTCCTACCACTTCTGACTCTACGACTGGGCCTGATGGCGGGCAATTGGGGACAACATGCGTTTGTGGATCCTGACGATCCGACATCCGACTTTCGGTCGAGCATCACATTAATCGATGTTGCTGTACGTCTCGTCCCGTCATTTCTGTCTTGCTTGCATACTAATGATACCATCTAGAGTAACCGTTTCTGCTTTAACGACGGCTATCACACCTCCCACCACCTGCACCCGCGTCGCCACTGGCGGGATCATCCCGTAGCCCTGCTAAAAGACCGAGACCGCTACGCAAGCGAAAAAGCACTCGTCTTCCGAAACATCGACTACCTGATGCTGACAGCGAAGCTGCTCCAGAAGGACTACGAGTATCTTGCCAAGTGTATGGTGCCGCTGGGCGCGCAGCAGGCCACCATGACCCTGCAAGAGCGGGCGGATATGTTGCGAGGCAGGACGCGGCGCTTTCCGAAGGAGTACCTGCAACGACTTTCTCGGCGGAAGACTCGATTTTAGTTAGTGACTAGCTTACGTGGGACAAAATAACACATTCATGCGTTCACTGTTTGATGCCGTAGACGGCCTACTTCTTGGCCGTACCTCAAAGCCAAGCGTATCACATTACTGGAGCCTGATCGATGCATAATAAAGCGCAGCGATTGGTGGATAACCATGTCGCGAGTAATGGCCCCCATTTGTGAGCTTAATTCTGGACAATTCATTTTGGCCCGGAGACTTGGCTTGTGGTACAGCCGCCTGTCCTGCCCTAGCCGTTGCCCAGGCCAGGAACAGCCATCTAATTTCGTAGCCTAATTAGCTTACTCGGAGAGTGCGACCCGAAAAGCAAGCTAGTACCTTAGCCTACTACTGCATCTCGGCTATTGGTCAAGAATGCTCCGTATAACTAACTATAACTAGTGTTCGGGACTAAAATGCCCCTGAGGCCCTGACTCGGCCCATGGGCGGCGCAGCCTAGGTAGGAGAATTTGAGCCAATGATGTCTCGGATTGAACAGCGTGTTCTGTACCGCTAGCAGATTGAGGCAATTATCGGAATAATTATATTTCAGCTAAATTAGCCAAGAGAAGGAGAGACGTCTGGATGCGTGATAGGTAGACTGCTGCCTGGTAGCTGCCTGGTAGCTGCCTGATAGAGCAAACGCTTGCCAGTAACTCCGTAGTGACCTGATCATTAACACTCCTATTGTCTTACTCGCGAGAGACAGAAATTTGTCCAGAGGCAGAAGCAATAACGCGGTCTGTAGTAGTAGAGAATGGAACTATGTAAACTGAATCAGGCCAATTGTAAAGTGATCGCATTGTACAATCCCGAAATAAACTGGGAGGATCGCGCGCGAGCAGCAACTCGACCGCCTCCTTTCTAAGATGACAGCCACTCGGTCCGTATCCAAGATCGCGATAATCGGACGCACAACGGTGATGCTCGCGCTGTCGGCGAAATCCTCGCGGCTGATTTTCTGTATCAGCTGATGGTCTCCCAATCGACGCTGGCTGTCCCTCGGCGAGAATAAGGATCGAGCCGGCCCGAACCATGGCCCGTGCCAGGAATAACAGCCTCTTCTGCCCCACGTTGAAGTGATCGTCGATCAGGTAGATGTCGATCCCGCTCAGGCCACGGTTTGAGGCTCGACCGTTGGGTCGGAGGGGCTGCCGGATGGGCCGGTGCTCTCGCGGATGTGCCGGATGTGAGGTGGGGAGTCGGCGGCGATGATGACTGGGCCACACTGATCGGCAGCTCGGCCGTGGTGTTGAATTGTGCCAGTGGCAGCTTCATATCCGCCAATTGAGGTCCTGCGCAAAGAGGTTGATGGTCCGACGTCTGTTGTCTAGATCTGCCCCTTCAGGTCCGTGTTTACAAGAGTATTGTGGAAATGGGCCGAGGCTCGGGCAAGCATCCGCCCAGTCAGTCGCCTACACAATCATCATCCTGCAGACAAAAAGGGTAAAGAACTCGTATCAGGCGCCGACGGCAATCGGACAATGGCGAGGGCTGCCAGTGCGGCGTAGATTGCCACATACTGCCCCCGGTGGTTGATTGTATTCTCATTGCTTGTTTGACGCCACCATTGCACCGCGAATTCTGCGGATATTAGTGCCTTTTTCGACATGACACAGCGGGTATAAGCAAGTATACACACGCGGTCAACCGAGACCAATGACGAACGAGGCACACGCGATGCCAAAGACGATAGCATTCTTGGGTGGACTGCTCTGAAGTAACCACTTGTAGATGGTCATGCCTCTAGTCTGCCGTTCGTTTCCTTGACGAGTTTCAACTGGAGAGGGCGACCTCAACAGTCTCAATGTGTTTTTCTCAGGAGACTCGCTCTTCCCCGCGGGTATATTAGGGTAAGGGTCGAGTAATCGCTTTCGCCGATGCATTCACCTTTTTGTAAGTGCATTCGTCCGCCGGGCGTCTACTGCTGTCGAGAACTATGATCAGAACAGATTCCCAGTCGCTGTCAAGGGAAGAAATTCCAACCTGCATTGGTAGCCAGAATGGCGATTGCATCTTCCCCCTTGAGCAATTCATTGGCACCAAACAAGCTGTGGAAAATGCGCCTCGGTCTTGAGCAATGAGAGGAATACCTGCCAAACAGCAGAGTAAAATGGAGCTCGTCGCGACAGTCCGTGGCCACTGCTGGGCCAAAGACATCCTCAAGGACGGAATACACCACCAGCAGTCATCGAGCCTAGTGGGTAATTGGACCTGCACACAGCATTTAGAACAGGACACAAAGCGGATCTCGGGGTAAAGACTTGCTTCATAGTAAAATACAGCGAAAAAATAGTGTATAACACGCCTTCTCCTATTGTCGATTCTTGTGGTGCTAACTGCTGACGTCTTACTGTAGTTACTTGCACTATCCACCCGTGGAGCCATACCAAAATATATCCAGAATTCGTGCGTTAATGTCGAGATAAATTAGATAACTCTGAGCTTGGCATTTATGGTCTGCGATGGCTATTCTTAATATAAAAGTTGTGCTGCTACTAAGATGCTAACGTCTAGTGCTTACATCCCTCCATCAGCTAAGTTAAATGTGGCCCCGTTCGGTGTTTCAGCGTCAATAAAAGGCCTGATACATTGCTCATTACATAGTACATGGGCTCCACTTTCAAAGTGAGAAACAGTCAAGACTCAGTCGCATATGAGGTTTAGTTTAGGGCAGGAATCAGCACAGCCTGTGCCTTAGCCCTGTCAGATTTCTTGGACACTTTAACCAAGCCTAACCGAGTAAACACGGAAACTAAGCTAGACTACAAGCAAAACAGCCTATTTGAAACCGTTCTGCTTTAGCTAGTTATCTATCCGTACTGATTACCAATATTCAATGACTCGGAACAATCCAGCAGCCTAACGAGGATCCAATCAACAACACAACCGTCACTTTTCCCGTCCAGGACTCTTTGACGCTCGACATCCGAGTTCAACCCAGTAAAACCTATTGATATAGATCTAATCCCCAGACAGAATTGTCGGGATGCGCTATGACTGGTGCATTTCCAGGCAGCACAGAAAGCAGCCCTAATTCTCCTCTTGATTCCGAAAATAGAATTACGAAGTGACCATGGCGGATTGTATGCATCCCAGCAGCGCAACAACAAGAACATAACGAGAATTATATCAACAATCTATATCCAGTTATAAACCTGGTGATTGTCCTTGAAGTAAATGGGGTAACCTCTATTCAATTGTTAATCTCATTTTCACCTTTCGCTCTCTATTGTGAACGCAATTGCTAGCTGTCATCGATATTCCATTCTTTTCTTGCTTGCTGGTCAACTTCATTCGATATGCGTATACAAATTTTATTACCTCTGGTATTGTTCATCTCTGCAATTGGAGTGCTTGCTGTCCCTGCGCCGACTCCTGCGCCGACTCCTGCTCCTACTACAACCGAGGCCTATGTCGAGCGAAGAGGGACAGAAACAACCGAAGATTATGACCCCCATATCACAATTGATGTTCCCAAGATCTCGATCAAGCCATACACTCATGAGCCCTTTAGTCTGTCGCTGGATCTGCCTTCCGACACCTGCACACCTACCATCACCCCCGATGCGAATGGCTGGGTTCCGGCAACCGAGTGCAATGCGCTCTACAACTACTACCCATCCTTTGGTGCTGCGATCGCCTTTTCGGTTCTTTTTGGTGTCTTGATGGTCACTCATTTTGTCCAGGCCACTGTCTACAAGGCAGGGTTCGTCTGGGTCATCTTGATGAGCGCGGCATGGGAATGTGTAGGGTTCGTGGTACGCACACTGAGCACGCGGGACCAGCAGGACAATACTCTTGCCACAATTACTCAACTGTTCATTCTTCTGTCTCCATTGTGTATGCTTTCCTATCTTTTTCTTCCCCATTGAGACAGCTGCTAATAACCTGTTAGGGGTCAATGCATTCGACTACATGGTTCTGGCTCGGATGATCCACTTCTTCGTCCCGGACCATCGAATAGGCATCTTCAAACCCTCCATGCTCGCCATGATCTTTGTCGTCCTGGACCTGGGATCCTTTGTCATCCAATTGATAGGAGGCAGCATGGCCGGACCCGGGGCGGACCACGACACCATGATGAAGGGTATTCACATCTACATGGGCGGCATCGGTATCCAGGAATTCTTCATAGTTCTCTTCCTCTTCATTGCGATCCAATTCCACCGCCAGATGCTCCATCTCGATCGGCAGGGAAGACTCGTTGGGCCCAAGGCAAAATGGAGAGGCTTGCTATATGCGTTGTACGCGAGTCTGCTGTTCATCACGGTGCGCATCATCTTCCGCCTGGTTGAGTTTTCCTCGGGGAATGACGCGTCGAATCCCATCCCGCAGCATGAGTGGTACATGTACGTTTTCGACGCTGTCCCAATGTGGTTTGCTATTGTGGTTTGGAACGTGGTTCATCCCGGGGCGATCATCAAAGGCCCCGACGCAAAGATGCCACCTAGCCCTCTGCGCAAGATATTCTGTTGCGCTTGCTGTTGTTCCTGCTGTAGGAAGCGAAAGAATAAGGGCATGCAGAAGATTCCGAATAATGATCACCTAGGAGGAGATGAGATGTTGCCGCTGCGGGAGCGGGCGGCTTCGCCATACAGATGATACTCATCGGATTCATTCTCTGGTAGAATGCTATTTTACCTTTCTGTTCTTCTCAAATATACTGTACGTCCACTCATTTTATGTACCGGCGTTCTATGCAATTCCTACATTGGGGCCTTACACCATCGAGACAGGAACAAAGGTCTGTGGTCTGACTCTTCATGACTTCTCCTTCATGTATATCTAGAGATATGTCCTTTGTGATACAAATTGAGTCTCTGTACTAGGTACACTCAACAGCTATCATATATACAAAAGGCTAGAATCAGCCAGCATTAACAGGCCTTGAGAAGATTACAGGATCCTCATTACAGCGTACTCGCGTTGAGACCCGGTATATCCGTCGCTACCATCCACAAGCAGCTCTGTATCCATGACCGTCATTACCATTCCATCCCTAGCCCGTTAGCCTTATGCCTCTCAATCTTGACAAAAAACTCACCTGCAATCTGTTGGCCACATCACTGACATACGAAGCAGTAGCGCCTTGGGGATCATCCAGATCATTAAAGTCGATGCTGCCCGAGTTGTAGCCCCGGAGCACATTGTACGGGTTACCACCGGTGTTTGCCCCAACATTCTGATTGTTGAACCATTGAACGAGACCACCGCCTTGTGCTGTGCCTTGTGTGCCGTCGATGATCATCTGGGTGATGCTTCCCTGCGGATCGTTGGGGTTGAACGACACAGACCCCGCGTAGGCCTGCATCAGGCCGCAATTTTGGACGCCGTTATTCGTGCAGCCGACGTACACATTACCGCTAGACTGTGAGGTATTAGCATTAGTTAGAAACAGTAAAGGCTCTTGCATACCTCCTGCATCACTACCGCCAGGATCAACCGAGGATCGACCTTGGCCGCGGCAGACACCTCAACGATGGCATTCCAGATAGCTCCCTGGATGGGACCGGATTCAACCAGTGCCATGGAAGTCTGCTGGTTCAAATCAAACATCGCCGTGAAGCCCATCCAGTTCTGAAATGGTGGGAAGTTGGCAGCCGACCCGCGGAAGCAGTAGTAGTATTCTGAATCCTGGTATCCGGCTGCGCCGTTGGTCAGAGAAGAGCTATACCAGTTCAACCCGTTACCGGTAACCGCGGCGCTGCTCGCATCGTTGGACCTGCGCCTGCGACTGCTGGAGCCCACATTGTGAAGATACGCAGCGACGACCCCGCCCCATCCACCGGAGTTGTCGCTTTCTTTTGCAGCGGCAACAGTGTTCTCGAGCACGATGTTGCTGATCGCCTTGACGTTGGTGCCGTAGAGATACACCGAGCCAGCGGACGACAGGATACGAACGGCGTTCGCCTGGCAGTCCCCGTTACATCCACCATTGTGGTTGAAAAACGCCCAGACGCAGCCTCCATAGAGGAACAAGTTCGAGGAGCCACGGATGCGCTCGAAGAGCGACATACGACATCCTGCATCGTTGGCGTCGCAGTTGCTAAAGTTCGGATCGCTGGCGACCAGGTTCGAGGACCATGGCGCGGGGGCCAGAGCGGGACTTCCCCAGCCCTGCCAGTAGGGTGTTTCGCTCTGCTGGAAGGCGGAGAAGACGTTCTGGGCGTACTCGAAGTTGTACTGGTAGAGGGTATGGTGTTCCATGGCTGTTCCAACGAGCCAGGTGCCCTTTGTGGCTTCGACGAGGAGACCACGGCCGGTGGCGATGGTGGTGGTGCCGCCGCTGCCGTCCAGGTCGTGGTCTGCGGTCCATCCCCACATGTTCTCGATATACGCCGAAGATGTACTGGTCAGATGGAGCAGGCCCCAGGCGGCTTTGCACTGGTCGGGACTGCCATAGCAGTTAGTTTGGACTTTGGAGCCGACGGCTCCGCCGATGCGGAAATGCGTGTTCCAGAATCCCACGTCGCCAGGAGCTGCACCGGCAATGTTTACCTCGACCTGCCTTACAGTTAGTGGTAGCCTCAAACGGAACGATGGCGACCTACTAATTTGCAGCCCTGGAGCACGTCGGCCACTGTAAACATCATATCTGTGAACTGGGCGACACCCACGTCGCCTGCATTCCCGACCTTGACCATCGTCGTCGGAGCATTAGGATTCCAAAAGTTGGACCCCGTAGCACTGATCGCCGAGGCATACGCATCGCCGACAATAATCGAACCAGCGGGGACAAAGATCGTCCCCGTCACAATGTACGTGCCGGCAGGGAAGTAGATGATCTTGCAGCCGGCATACTGGGCTAAGATGGCGTTGATGTTTGCCGTGTCGTCGGTGGCACCATCTCCCATAACAGGCAGACCGCTCACAGTCTTGATATTGATAAACTGGCTGGACGAGTATTGAGCGTATGTCGGTGGTGCCATGGTAAAGTACTTGGAGTTGGCTCCGAGCAGAACATTCGCACGAGGGGTGGTGACTCGCGAGCCTTGTGCATGTGTAGGGGTGGTAGCTCCTCCGGAGTACTACATCCTGTGAGCAGGCAGACGCAACAAGCCAGGGGATCGACTCACCATATTTCCATGCACCCAGGTGTTTGTTACGGAGCCGGAGAGGACCACATTGTTGTTAAGCGAGACGGTGCTGCCGCTGTTGGTGCACTGCACATTCTCCAGGATGATCGAGTTCTGAGCACTACCACCAGCATTGGAGGAGACGATCATGTTGCCGAGCGAATTGCCGCTGGAATCGATGACCGTCAGCGAGCCAGAGATTCCACTGGCATCAATGCCTGTAGCACCGTTTGAGAGGTTGCAATCCAGACAGACGAGCTGAAATGCGCCGGCCTTGATACCAACATTGGCTCCGTTGATGGTGATGCCCTTCAGGATCCATTGTTGGCCGCTCAACTCCATGCCAATCGCACCACCATTGAAAGTAAGATCGTTCTGTAGAAGTCAACAAGTATCCTTGCATGATGATAATCACACTGACCAGAATGATATTGCTGTTCGAGTCATACTGGCTTGTCACACCAACATGGTTCGAATACGTCGGCATGTTGAAGACAACATTCGTCAGCTGCGTAGCCTGCGAGACAGTCCAATCCAACAGCGTAATCGACTTCGAAGCAGCAACGCTCGTAGAATCGATAATTACATTTTTGAAGCCAATGTAGAAGTTGATCGTACCGCCCAGGTGGGGGTCTTTTCCGTAGACGATATGATCGTTGGGAAAGTTTGCGCTGGCCTTGAGAGTAGGCGGATTGAGAGCGTCGCCCACAATCACGGTACCAACGTAGAGCTGAAGACTTCCCTCCATCAGATACGTCCCGGCCGGGAGGTAGACGATTGCAGGTTGACCGGTGGTGCCCATGGAGTGGCTAGCCCGGTTAGGGCCGTTGGAGGCCCCGGCTATTGACGGTTAGCACTTCGCCTCTATAGGCAGACCGGACAGAAGGGCATACCGTTGATGGCATTCTGAATGGCAACAGAAGCATCCTTAGCCCCGGTGTTGTCCGCTCCAAAGTCGGTCACCGCATTCCGAAAGACCTTGTAGTTGTGCTTGTAGGTCGAGTCCAAGAACGACGACTCTCCGTTATGAGTAATCGTCTCCAGCCAGAACTTGCTGGGACTGTCCGGAGTCGGCCCTCCACAGCTTGCTCTTTTCTGGCTATCATGGCTTGTCAGGTTTCCAGTGGAGCCTTGAGGAACCGGGTCCCAGGGACGGGCAGTCTTGTTTTGAATTGGGAAAGGAATGGTTCTATATCCTTGTCAGATTTCAAACATGCTACGTGCGACAAAGGGTGGCTTACTGTTTATGGGGAACGTAGTCAAGAGAAGGAACCCATTGTTCGACATTGAAAGTGCTAAAGTTAGTAGGAGCTTGAAAATGAGCGCCAGCCGGAAAAGCTGTAGAAAGAATCGAGAACGAAAGACTCGAGGTCAGAAGCCAAGCGAACCTCGCCATTGCGACAGGACCAGCCTTGACAGGAGAGAATGAAAGGAGTGTCTGTCCTGGCCATGGAGCAGGTCATCACTACACCTTGGATGTATTTATACATGGAAATCCGGCCTGTCCTCCAGCTAAAGATCTGAAGAAGCAGTATAGGGGTCATTTAGCTCAATGACCTGAAGCACTCTGTACCAATCATTGCAGCATTTGTCTGCCATCGGGCGTGGGTTACCCTTTTCGGACAAGCTGAAGTGTTTAGTAGACGTACTGTAGAGATGAAGGGTCACTTCGGATGCGACATGGCTGGCACATAATAAGCACGCCAGCACTTAGTGCAGGTACAATGTCACCTCGCTAATCTGAGTTAGGGAATTGGTCATTGTAACTGGACTCTAACGCAGGGGCATCCACCAATGGAATAGTCAATTGGAGGTCTAGATCAGGAAGGCTTCATGTGATATTCTTCACATTTTGTGTGATGGATAGTCTAGTATCCTGTCTCGTTCCCGGCTATATCATAGTCTTTCAAATATCATGAATAATATTATCGTTAGCGGCTGACTCTGAAACTAGGTGGAAGGGTCGGGTAGAGACGAGGCACAGAGATGATTGGTATATTTGGCCCACTGCGGAAATTACGTCCTCATGCTTTCAGCTGAGGCCTATCTAAATAGGCAATTGGTATCAGTTCAAATGACGGCAACACTGACTCTGGAACTGAAAGACAAGCATCATCAAGCATAGCTGGTGCACTTGGCAGATTTAGGGGATCGACTCTTTTTCATATGGGAAGAAGATGATTACAAACAGTGGAGACTGGAGACTGCTGAATAATCAATCAATTGATGCCTCTTTCTTCAGGCTGAATTTCTGCCACCTTTCTAAGGCCGCTCTGCCTCTCGAGCGTCTAGCACCTAGCCAGCATATTAAGCCTAAGGAAGGGGCCAATTGAATCTGTCTCTTTGCTGTTGCAAAATCTATACTTAATTATGCTGGGAAATCAAGATATACCTGTCTTGAATGTACTGTTAGCTAAAGCACAGGGAATTGATGGTAGCATGTCCTCCTCAAGTATATATATCGGTAATACTGTCATTGTTCAGAGAGGGACACCCTCTAGCTATAATATTATCCCTTCAACATCAAGAAGACTAACAAGGAGATAAATACCAGTCATATCAGCTATAAAATAACCTGTTCTCTAAACCAGCAGCTGTCCGCCATTAAAAGAAGAACAAGAAGTGCCACCCGGCGACAGCGAAAACAGACAAGAAGACATCCACAGCCCTACGTCGCACTGACGCAAGACACCGTTAAACCAAACCTGGGACAAATGGTAGCAACGCTCTAGTGTACCTTGAATTTGCGACTTTATTAAGATGGATCTCGATCATACCACATGGATTCGCTCATGCGCGGTGCTTTTGACGTCACTACTTGGTGACTTGAGACTGTATATATCTAAAGAATGTCTACGTGATAAAGGCTCAACTGACGATCCTATTCAGAATTCTATACAATTGAACGTGGCATCTGAAGCTAAAATGGCTGCTTATTCTGGAAATTTCACAAATGGTCGTCGTCCTCAAGCGACCAGGTACGTGCTATCCGGCATACTTTACCAATGGTCTCTACTTATAGATTCTCTTCCAGCTCCCGTAACATTGCCTTTTTGAGTATTTTCGCTGTCATCGCCGGGGGTTACCTCGCTTTCCGAGCCCAATCGCCCAGCAAGGACGAGCCATTGGTGTCGAAGAAAGAGGTCGAGACAATGTATGGCAGTCCGGCCGGTCCAGGCGATCGAGTGGGACGCGGACCAGCTCATCAGCCAAAGGATTAGGGTCGATGGCATATTTCTCTGTTGAAAATCAGGCTGTACATATGGCGTTGTCTTGTTCGTTTTCAGGTTGATGAATCGGATTTCTTCGTTGTCTAGTTTTCAGGCATTTGAGTCGGACTGCATGTACCTATCCTCCGAACCTCCGAAAACCGAGATGACTGAAAAGCGTCACTGATTGGCTGTACTCTATCAATATTGATCGAGAGGCAATATAGCGTGAGGCTTCTTTGTTAATATCGGAATTACTACACCAGTCATGTCTTGAAGATCAGGTAGCCCTAGAAGACTGTTTAACCCTCCCCCGACGCAGTGATAGACATAACAGTGACAGAATCATCGCTATATACTTCAGTATTCCACACATACACACTCTTGAGGGCATCAATCCAGACAGTATGGACTCAATAACCTTCTGTCACAGTCCAGATGTGTCGATACATGCCTGTATCTCTCACCCTGCCATCGTCCAGCACAGACCTACTGCCGGAAGTGCGAAAACAACAGGAAGCTGCATACGAAACCGGCGCTCCGCTGGTCGGTCAACCATGTCCTTGCAAATCCGGAGAATCTTGACGAAAAGGATATTGAGATGGTGGTTCGCGACAGCTGGCGAGGGAATCAGTTGGCCAAGACGGCTTGGCCGACGTACGGTATGGCGGAGGATGTATCCGATGCGCTTCAGCGGGCTGTCGAATCGATGGATAAAGAGAAGCATTTGCTGCCGCTTGAGTGTCCGGAGGTGCTTCGACAGGAGATTTTGAGCTTCTGTTAGCATTAACGGTAATCGAGTGTTTATGGATCAATAAGACAGCTTTAACTATCGAGTCGCTATCATATGCTTATCATCTATCATTACCAACATTATGAAATATATGACACAGAAACGCCGCCAACACCATGCGACAGGACATGAAGATATCCAAAAGGTAAGCAATAGTTTACGACTGCTGCGACCTGCTGATCAACGACGCAATCACCGCAGCTCCCACACTGGAGCCATCCACGGCAGGAATCAACCGGATCGGATCCGGGGTATCAGCAGGCCACTCCAGGATCTCCCGCAGCGCCCCGATGGCCCTCTCCGGGAAGCATGGATACTTGTTGAACACAGATCCATCCACAGCGACATGGCAGCTTTCCAATCCCCGCTTCTTCATGATCGCCGCGATGCCGCACGCGTATAACCTCGCCGATCGCAAGGAGATCATGTGCGCCAGGTCGTAGCAGAAGCGTAGCTCGGACGGGGAAGGCGTGATGGAGAGTGCTTTCTCAAAGGCATCTTTGGCTGTCCGCAGATCTCCGGAATCGTCGCTCTCAATAGTCGCCAGGAAACAGCAGTCCAGCACATAAGGCTCGCTTAGTTTGGAGGAATTCTGACCGTCAAAGATCGCCTTGCGATTGTAGAGATCAAGCAAGATGAGCCGGAAGATCTCACCCAGGTAGAATCCCGCAACCATCTTCTCATACCGCTGTTGACCGGGCCGAGGTGAGGCGCGGTCGATCTCGGCGTCGTAGTCGGTAAAAGGGAGCACTCGCTGGCTGTTATCAAAGGCGCCGTATTCGCAGTTGATGGCCATGAATGCGTCGTCGGGTAGATGCTGATCGGCTAGTTTCGGGATCTTGGAGCAGCGCTCCATGTACGCTGCGTTACTGCCTGTGCCGAAGATGCTACCGATTTCGGTCTTGGGGTCGACGTAGGAAGATGCCATTAGGGTACCGACTGTGTCGTTGACCAAGGCGACGATCCGAGCGGGGAGACCCTAGTCAAGTCAATATCACTATTTTATGCAGAGGTACCGAAGCAGGACTGACCTTCTCCTTGAGAGCCTTGTGCAGCTCAGCAACAACATCTGTCCCCTCGACACCCTTAATGTCAAATCCCTTGGTCCATCGCTGGAGGATGCCATGCGAGATGGATGTTTGGGTGACAGGGTAGGAAAATGTAAAGGCCAGAGGCGTCTCAGCGAGCTCCTTCTGCGAGATGGAATAGCGATCGACAAACTGCTGCAGGCAGTCGGCAACGTAGTGCCACAGTTGCTCTGCGGTGCCAGACTTCAACGACTTGGGGATTTTGTTGTCCATTTGGACCACGTCGTACTTGCCCGCGGTGCCGTTGAGTGTCACTTTGCAGACGCGGAAGTTGGTGCCTCCCATGTCCATCGTGAAGAAGGCTCCCTTTTCGTCGCCGCGGGGCAGTTCCATTACCCATGTTGGGTTCATTGGCTGTTCGTTCCAGTTAGCCTGTATTGTAGCAGGTAGACAGTAGACTGTAATGACGTACAATGTCGCCGCCTTGGCCACTGAGCCCTGAAACATGTTAGCATCTACCGCGTCGAGATAGCCAGGAAGAATGTACTTACCAATTTCAAGTTCATGGACAAAGTGGTCAGTAATCTGCTTCAGCTTGGCGGAATCAACAGTGAAGAGTTCTTGTAGCTTCGTGAATTCATCCTGAAGCGCATCCCCGGTCACCTTCCGGGCCAGGCGGGGAGTAGGTGCTGGTAGATAGTTAGCCATCTCTCGTCGGTTCAGTCTGAGGGCAGACATACGGCTTGTAACAACAACCGACGCAGTAGTGGACATTGTGTCTGTGTTAGAGGGCTCTGGTGCAAAGGGGCTCTGGGAGAAGCGCCTCTCTGGGCGGGGTGAATGTCGAGGGCTTTGATTTATGGTGAAGAAAGGACGAAGTACTCTTTGCTAGAAAAGGAAATGCGTTAAGCTTGGCTGTATAGACGCGTGACCGTCCGGGGGGTTCTTTTATATTCTATTTCTATTCCTTCGGCTTAGCCAGAAGATTATCCACCCCTACGCTATTTCAGTATTCCTGATGTCAGTCATCTTACTATTCCACCAAGCACATAACCGGTCTATAGCATGGTGGTGGCTATCACCTGCATGATAAAGACCCAGCAATGGATCCTTCCGTCACCATGGCATATACAGCACAGTTCTCAGGGAAAATCAACTCCGACCACCCACTCTTGATCATGGTTCCGTCAATGTGATACTCAGTTTTTGCCCCTGTAACGGAGGGCCCTGAACCGACTGCCTGCACATCAACGGGATGACGTCTTAGCTGCAAGACCGCCACTCAACATGTTCAGAGGGCAGGATGAAGTATCCTACCTAGACGAACACCCAGTTCTCCATCGCCGGTGAGACTGAGGTAGGTTAGACTCAGAGATACCAGTCACAGCCTCGAACAACCTTGCGGTCTAGGACATACAGAGGTGGACTCTTCCAGGCAATTCTAGCCCCCGAATATACTCGTAGCCAAGGAGGCCATATGCGTGATCTGATTGGTTGAGAGTCAGAATCCAGGACATCTGATTGGCGGGTCGGGTTAACGCGCTGGTCAGGTGTTACGTCATTAGCCAATTATATCCATCACTTCCCAGTTTCTATATCTCAGTCTTTCCAGGATCACTCCTTCTTTATAGATGCCCTACGGGGAGATTCCGGTCTAATCTACTCCGTAAGGTCAGCCAGGAAACTTTACGGTCAAGACGGGTGATGTATCCATCCAATTAGGGCTCGGAAGCACCTGACCGTAGGTCCGTAGGTAGATATTTTCTGGATGATTCTATCAGGAGTCAATGTCTGATAGCTAGGCTATAGGTGTAGCCTTCAAAGTTGTCTCAGAAAGGGGAGAAGTGCTATACACTGAGGACTAGGGAGTAAGGTGCTGGAACCTATGCTGCAGACTTAGTATAGGACGTATCTCCCAACAGCCCATAAGTTGAGATCAGTATATAATCACAGGAGGGACAGCAGCATACGGAAATCGATTACCACTAGTTGTCTCGTGGGTAATAGATGCTCATGGATTAGGTATCGGTTCGTCTATGCGTGTTATTACCGCAAATATATCATATCATAAGTATCTGAATCACTGATATAATGATGGCTCACTTGAGCTTGTCATAATGCCATCAATGGTGTCAAATGGTAGACGAGTCACTATGTATAAGTATAGCACTATTAGCCCAGGGTAGATGCATGGGGTGTTGACGATCTTCGTCTCTCCTTCAAAAAGCGATTGATATCAGATGCGCTGAACGGCCAGATACCAAAATCGCCAGTGCCTGACTCAGGCAATTATGACGAGATGTTCTTTACGGTATAAATGGGGTTTATTTTCCTACTAATCAAGTCATTCCAAAACATCCTGTGGCAGCTCTTGGATGATAACCCTATATCTCCCATCCATAAACCAGTCAAGGTGAGAGTACATGTTCAGTTGTGGCTGCTTCATATTCTGCCACAAAGCTTGTCGACAAGGACTCACAATCCACTATTATGGCAGATCCAATTAGAAGACAATCATTCCCGTAATAAGCTGCGAATCAATGACATTAGGCTATATTCATGCGCTCTCCATCAGACCACGGTGGAGCCGGATATACAAAACCCACAACCCCTCACTGTGGGATATTGTCAAGGTACATATCGCCAAAGCCTTGCATTTCACGAGCCGTACGATCAATCAAGCTACTAGATGGGAGACGTGGCTCTGGACATGTTATCCGAATAATCCAAATACGTTAAACAACCCACTGATAGCAGAATTAGCACCGTTACCTGGATAATCATTTCAGCTGAGATGCCACAGTCCGAGCATAACTATCAACACCGAAAAGAGAAATGATATCCCTTCGTAGAATCACCCCGCACTTCTCAGTTCGCAGGGGTTGATTGAATGACTTCCCCTTCGGCTTTCCTCCCGAAGCCTATCAACGGGGCCAACGATGTCGATCATTGCATACGCCCTGCGCAACTGATGTCACACAACATCAATATCAGCCTATTTCATTCTGGACGGATAAACTCAGCAGCAGTCTTAAATACCTTGGATTTGACTGCGAGATCAGGACCATAACAATAGCCAACCGCGATGATGGTGTCTATCAAACGTTGGCTACTCGGCCTCTGCGCCGTGTCCACGGTATGGGCCAACCCCATACAAACCCGCGAGGCGGACTATGTGATGCCCAACTCCACCGGTTTCCGCATGCAACATGGCTTTGAGACCGTTCTCGTCCAACCGTTCGGCTATGACGGGTTTCGCGTTCGCGCCTGGCCCTATCGTCCGCCCACTGGTAACGAGGTCAGCTTCATCTACGACCCGCCTCTCGAGGGTTTCGAGGACGGTATGGCCCACGGCTTGGGCTTTGACACTGCGTTTAATGGCAATCGGACGGTGGCTATCCGAAATGGTAAGATAGTTGTCCGCACGTCGGGCTGGGGTGGGAACCCGGGAGGCTATCGGTTAGCCTTTTACCGGGTGGAAAAAGACGGTTCGGAGACGCTGCTTACGAACGAGTATGCACCTCTCAAGTCGGTCAATCCCAGGTACTACTTCTGGCGCGGACCAGGGAGCGAGTTCTCTGCGGAATTCTCCTTCAGCTCAACGCCGGACGAGCAGATCTACGGTACGGGCACGCAGCAGGATCATATGGTCAACAAGAAGGGGTCTGTGATCGATCTGATCAACTTCAACACGCATATCCCGACGCCGGTGATTGTGAGTAACAAGGGCTACGGCTTTGTGTGGAACATGGCGTCCGAGGGCCGCATGGAGTTGGGAGCCCTGCGGACCAAGTTCACGGCCGAGTCGGCCACGGTGGTCGACTATGCGATTGTCGCTGCAGAGCAAGGAGACTACGATACACTGCAGCGTCGCCTCTCAGCATTGACCGGTCGTGCGCCCACGCCTCCCGAAGCCTCGCTCGGTTACATCCAGTCGAAGCTGCGGTACGAGAACCAAACCGAGGTGGAGCTGCTGGCTCAGCAGTTCAAAGACCACAATATCCCGGTCTCCATGATCGTCATCGACTACCAGTCCTGGGCCCACCAGGGAGACTGGGCCTTGGACCCTCGTCTCTGGCCCGATGTGGCATCCATGGCGAAGAAAGTCAAAGATCTCACCGGCGCCGAGATGATGGCATCCCTCTGGCCCAGCGTAGCCGACAACAGCGAAAACTACCTCGAACTCATCGCGAACGGGCTACTATCCGCTACGCGATCCGGTCCCGGCACCACAGACTCCTGGAACGGTTCCTACATTCGGAACATCGACTCGACGAATCCGGCCGCTCGGGCGTTCCTCTGGAAGACTCTAAAACGCAACTACTACGACAAGGGGATCAAGAACTTCTGGATCGACCAAGCCGACGGCGGCGCGCTAGGCGAGGCCTACGAGAACAACGGACAGAGCTCGTACATCGAGTCCATCCCGTTCTCGCTGCCCAACGTCCTCTACGCCGCAGGCACCCAGCTCAGCGCAGGCAAGCTGTACCCCTGGGCGCACCAGCAAGCCATCGAGGAGGGATACCGCAACGCCACCGGCACGAAAATGGGCGAAGCATGCGACCATATCAGCCTAAGCCGCTCGGGATATATCGGCTCCCAGCGCTTCTGCAGTATGATCTGGTCGGGCGATACGACTTCCGTATGGGATACGCTGGCCGTGCAGGTTGCCAGTGGACTCTCCGCGGCCGCAACGGGTTGGGGATGGTGGACGATGGATGCAGGAGGGTTCCAGGCTGACCCGACGGTGCCGTGGAGCTCCAACATCGACACGCCTGAGTATCGCGAGTTGTACGTGCGGTGGTTCCAGTGGGCGGCGTTCCTGCCGTTTATGCGAACACACGGATCGAGGAAGTGCAATGTGCAGAATGCGTACACCTGTAACAACGAGCCGTGGTCGTATGGCGAGGAAAACACGCCCATCATTGTCTCGTACATCCAGCTGCGGTATCAGCTCAAGGCGTATCTGCAGGCTGTCTTTGAGCAGTTTCATCATACGGGCCGGGCGCTTATGAGGCCGCTGTATATGGATTTCGAGCGGACAGACCCGCAGATCGCGAAGATGACGCGGGAGAATGTCAATGCTACCACGCAGCAGTACATGCTTGGTCCGAGGCTGCTTGTCACCCCGGTGACGTTGCCCAATGCAACCGAGTGGGAGGTGTATCTGCCGCTGACGGCCCAGAATGAGACAAAGCCGTGGACGTACTGGTGGACAAACGAGACATATGCTGGTGGACAGACGGTGACCGTCCCGGCCCCGATCGAGCATATTCCGTTGTTTTACCTGGGTAAGAGGGAGGATATACTGAGCGGAAGTGTGTTCTAGATGCGGCAACTTATTCATGCTGGAACTGTCTATGGCTATGGACTCATCGCCCTACTGCTCAAGGTGACTGACGAGGAACGAGGCGATAGAGATGGCCGAGCCTTGCTTGTATTGACCAGTCATAATTTCATGCATTCCTTCACTCACTACATCACTTGCACTTGTAGTCTCATTCGCCCGTTTGCTCTCATGGTCCAATCACTACCATCCTGTAGCTTCAGGCGTAGGCACAGCCGCCACCGATTCCGGCACCGCCATAGCAGCCATGACATTCGCCTCAGCCGCCGGCGTGGATTGAACCTTCACATTCCCCGTTAAAGGCACCAGGGTCACAGGTGGGATATACCAGTGGGCATCACACTCCGTCCACCGCGCATCAATCTGGCGTACGGCCTCGGGAAGATCCAAGAAAGGCATGTAATCGTCCCGGATCATCGTGCAGGAAGGATCGTACAGCGGACATTGCGATCCTCCTCGGTACTGCGGCCAGGGGACCAGTGGCATGGTATAATTGCCCACTTCCTGGGGCATGAACTCGGCGAAATTGAACGGATACGCAGTCCCGATGGTGGGGTACTTTGCGTTGCGGTGGTTGCGGACCGAAGAGACGCTGGCGGGATCCACGGCGATGATGGTGTCGGTGTGCGTGTCGCCGCATTGGCTTCCGGGATGGGCGCGCCGGTTACTCCAGGCATAGATGGAGGTAAATGAGACGTAGATGCTTGGGGAGACGAGGGTCTGCCCGTTGACTATGGCGGTATTGGGGCCGTTTCCGGTTGGTGTAGCAGGGATGGTGGTGCCGTTCTGCAGACATAGGTCGCCACCGGCGGTGGTCACAGGCCAGTAGAAGACGGTTGCCGTGCCGGGGAGAAAGTGGCAGTTTGTGCAGGGGTCTTCGGGGTAGGACCGTGTGGTCGAGGGACAGCTATAGGGTGGGATGGGGCTCTTGGTGTCGCCTGGAGTGACGGTTGTGACAGTGTCGTAGTACGAACTGGACAGTTCCCTATACGTCGACCAGATCGGAATGCATTCTTGCGTGTTGAGGTCGCAGTCGGGCGCTGGCGGCTCCCGGTAGAGCTCAACCGTATTCGTAAAGGTGGTGGTGTAAGTGCTGCAGGGTCCTGTGCCGGGATAGTAGGATGTCACGGTCTCACGAGGGCCCAGCGCGCGTGGAATACCGTCGCAAAGGGTCGTCACAGGTCCTGTATGAGTATCCGAATATCTCTCCAGCGACGAGGAGGTTCTGCAGGCCCCCTCGCTGGTTGGATATGGGTCATAGGAGATACTCGTGGCTGTCGGTCCCAGCGAGCGTAATCCGGTGGACCGGCCATAATATTCAACCCATTTCGCATTGCAGGTTACAACCGGCGCTTCGGGACCGGTTGTTGGTCCATAGAAGTAGTCGGTGTATGTGGGCCAGAAGATGGACGTGTTTGAGATAATCAGCCACTGGCCACTGGTCGACGATGGCTCGCTGGTGGGTGATGGACGGATTGTGATGGAACTGGCCGTGACAGCAAGACCAAAGGCTGACCTTGTCAGACCTATATCATCTTGGTTTATGAGGATACATACCAACGTGTCCCTGAAGGACAGCAAGCAGTAGAGTCCAGACCATGATTACTGATTATCAGTTGCTTGCTCACTAGACTTCTCAGAGAAAGACAGCCTCTTTAATACACTCACTCGGTCACACCCCGCTTATCCTTCAGCGTTCTGGGCCGCGATGTCTCATTGATCTTGATCCACTCAAGACATATGTAGTAGTGTGATTGGGAGGCAGCTAAAATCTTACGTTTAGAACTGCAGAATTGCCACCAAGCCATTCGATATGGGCCCATTGCCAAGTCTTTACCTGCAGATCCAACACAGCCAAACATCCAGGATTGGTCAGGATTCAGTTTGCCCACAGGAGCTCGTATATCTAGCCTGACTTTAGCTCGCCATGAATCAGTCAATTCAAACTTGCTTTACTGAAGTCTATATGCAGTATGTACGCTATCCCTCGAATTGCACACTCAATTTACAAGGACAACTGATAATAGGCTCAACAGGTAATGCAATAATCGAAGTAACGCTGAAGTATGCAATACAGGTAGATTCAGAGATCGTGATCAGCCAGATGGCTCGTTCAGGCGACCTTGGAATATCTGACACGTCTACACAGATCTCCTCTGATGATACACTGGCCCGAATAAAAGTGACACCTCTGAGTGATTGGTGATGCCTTCATTGACAGTGGTGTTATCCTTTGCCATTCTTCTGCGCAGCATACGGTATTTTTCTTTGAAGCAATCGCACTCCCCAAACTTCGGAATGTACCTCCAGTTTCCGAGTTCCTCTTTCGCATGACCGTGCTCTGCTTCGCTCATAGTCATCGGAAGAGACTTTTGGGCCCTCCATTTGACAGATGTCCACGAAACATGTGTTGCACTTGCCAAAATCATAGGCGACTTGTCCGATTTTGCTGGTCGATCGGGAAGTGGAATTTGTAGGATGCAGCTCGCTTCTCGCAATGGGAAAGTCGAACACCAGGTTTGTAGCCTACAAAGCCGTGTTGGTGCACTCGGTGGCAGAACGGAGAGCGGACGTAGACACTCGAAGCGTTCCAATCGAGGACATCACTATCAATAATGCGTGTGTTCGCCATTCTAGCGTTCTAGTGGACCGATAATCCACGCAGGTTATTTCAAATCCGACGTTATAGGGTTGGTATCTTCCAGCCAATGTGGAGAAGAGCAGGTGTTCGTCTTGGCCTGAGCCGTGGAGTTGTATGTCTTATATAAAGCATATTTCTTTCAGAGCGATGAAGCCTGTAGAAAGGTACTAGTACGGAAAGAGCCGCCTTCTACCTTGTAGTATGTGATTATCTACCATAAGTTTGCCTTTAAACACTGCAGGTTCACAATCTTCCTGCGGCGCCATGCCGTGCACCACAGCCACCATATGTGCCACAACAGTCGCTTATTGGGCTAACTGTATTCTCAGGTATCATAATCATATTCTGCCCTTCTGCTCTTGCTATGAGGGCGGTTATAGAAGAGATGATTGACCACTAGCCACTCGTTGGCTGAAGGATGAGGACTCCTGCACTCCGCAGGCATTCTCCACCATACATCGCTGGCACTCGAACACTGAAAGGACACAGCAATCCTGCAATTTATACCCCCAAGTGTTTGAAGCCAACTTGGCACAGTAATCACTGTTCCCTGGAGCACCATCTTTGCACCCATTTCGGCAAGCCTGCGTAAACTCTATATTACCAAAGTTATCGTTGCAGTAGAAGAGCACATTTTCGGCAGTCGGGTTGTAACAGTGAGCTTTTGCCAACACCTGCTGGACTCTGTCCCTCTACGTTTTCTCTTATGAAATTCAGCGATTGCATAGCCGGCTGCTACCCCTACGTCATTGTCAATACGGTTCTCGCTGAGAGGCTGAGTTGGGTACAGTGGACGATTTCTCCAAAAGGAACAGATCACTGTTTACTCTGCGTGCATCTCGTCAGTCCCGCCGTCTCTAAAGGCCATGTCCTAGCTCCAGTCATAAGAAGTAATTATAGAGCTAGATACATATAGTAACAACTTGATTCATCCTTCGACCTTCTAACACAAAGGCAGCCACTGCTGACAAGAAAGTTAGCAAGGCTTTGAGGCATGTCACTGCTGTAATAGTAACACACTCAAATGGCTCACACAAAACCAAATAAGTATCCCCATGAAGCAGAATCAGATATCATACCTCCGAGTCAGTCCCCGCATTCGTCACGGGTACCGAGACTAACTTGCGGGGAGATGGCTGAAGAAACCGAGAAAGCTAAGCTCGTCCCCGGATGCAAACATTCAGCCAATAATCTGGCCATTTTGGACGGATAAAACGAGGAGAATCCCCTCGTTCCGGCTTGTCGGGGGAACTGGCCGAGATTTGATTGCCCGTTACCCTTTTGATCACGGACGTCGATGGATACTGCAATCCTGAAGGCTCAGATATTGGACGCCACACGTCTTTCCACCAATGAGTCTTCTTCAGCGGCTTTAAGGCAGAGACATCTGAGTCTATATATTTCGAAGAGAGTCTCATCAGGATGCAATGTTTAACAACGACCACGTATAAATTTCTTCTCATTTTCCGGTCTTGTACTCATCACTTGGCCTTCCATCATGTTGCACACTTCAATCGTATCAGTGACTGCCTCCTTGGCTCTGGTACTTAACGCCAATGCCCAAGCAGCATTATACGCTCAGTGTGGTGGGGAGGGATACTCGGGCCCTACCTCGTGCGTCGCTGGAGCTGTCTGTACAGTTTGGAACCCGTGGTACTGTACGTCTGCTGCAAATCCTACTATTGAAGATAGATCAATTCTAATTGACAACACTTAGACCAATGCCTCCCTGGAACAAGCACTGCACCAAGTACTACAACAACCACAACGACCACAACAACGACCACCGGTACACCCACCGGGCTAAAGTACTTCATCACTTTGTGAGTTACCCTAAGCTTCATACCGAATGTTCTTGTACTCATCAAGCTAGTGGCGACTCCTACTCGCAGACCGGATTCAACATCAACAGCACCAAACCCTCCGCCTCGAATCCCCTCGGGAACCCTACTTTGCCAGGATGGACGACGAGTGGAGGCTTGAACTGGGTCGGATTCCTCGTCTCAAAATATAACACGTCCCTGACTCTGTCATACAACTTTGCCTACGGTGGAGCGACGACCAACGCCAGCCTTGTTGCTCCATATACCTCTACCGTCCTTAGCTTCATCGATCAGGTCACCGAGTTCACCAACAGCATCGCCTCGAAGCCCTCTTATGCGCCGTGGACCAGCGAGAATAGTCTCGTGGGCGTCTGGATGGGCGTGAACGACGTTGGCAACTCGTACTGGCTGTCTAATATTGACGAACTTCTCATCAAGATTATGGATAGCTACTTTGGGCAGCTGCAGATTCTCTACGACGCTGGAGTGCGGAACTACGTGCTCCTCGGTGTTCCTCGTAAGTCTTGCTTCGGTTTTGATATCACTGACGGATTCTAATAATTTACAGCAATCAACCGCTCCCCACTCATGCTTTCCCAAGGCACCGATGCCACTACCGCGGAAGCGGCAGTGATCGCAAAGTACAACAACCTGATCGCGACATATCTCGCCAAATTCAAGTCCAAGAACAGCGGTGTCACAGCGACAATCGTGGACACGCAGGCGCCATTCAATAAGGCATTGGATAATCCCACAGCCTATGGTGCGCCCAATGCCACCTGCTTTAACAGCGATGGCACAAGCTGTCTGTGGTTTAATGACTACCACCCTGGCATTGCCATCCAGAACCTCACGGCACAGGCTGTGGCTTCTGCGCTGAAGGGGTCGTTTTTCTAGGCTACCTTCAGAGTGGTGATGAATGTCGCCATCATTTTGCCGGAGGTCCACTGTATATAGTCCGTTGAGATCAAAGATGCGAACACAGTCGCGTTTTTACCGAAGCTATTCATCCCCTCGCATAACAATGCTTGATCGGTAAACAATTGTAGAGGGATATTGGATCCCTGGGTGATGAAGTGGACTTCCATTTAGCCCGGGTCACTGCCACGATCAGAGGCTTCCGGATTCCTTATTGGTATGGACTGGACAATGAAACCTCACCTCTTCAATCAAGAATTCGGCAGTATCATCCACTTCTTCTCTGTACTTTCGAGACAGTCCCCTCTACATATTGACCGGTGAGTAATGGGCGTTACTGGCTGGGTCCAGGCCATGAGGGATCATCATCTGCATAACCAAGATCACCATTATAAACTAGTATCTTACCTAGTTGCACCCTTGGACAGACATCTCTCATTAAAAATAATGAGTTTAGCTTTACTGTTAGCCACTAAAGCCTATCAATATTAACTTATATAAATCCAAAATAGTTATTAAAGTTCCCTTGTACAAATATAGGATTAATCATAGGGGTAAATCCCTTCCTTAGACCACCCCCGTGCTTGCTTTCCTCTGGATCCTCAGTATCCATAATTAAGTTTAAGCACTGCTGGTTAATGACCAGGCACACTATATATTATGGCACAACCTCCCCTATTCTAGCCCCTTGAGATGCAATAATGTCCTTAAAATCTTTGTAAATCTGTGTAACTGATGCACCATCCTAGCATTATTTATCCTCAAGGATAACATTTTTGTATGTCTCACAGACAAGCCTCTTAGGAAAGTCATGGTCCTCAGCCTCAGCATACTGGTCACCATCAACATGATTAATCTCCCAATGGGCATAGTAGTTAATTTTCTCTAGACAGGCAGACCAGACCTGATCAGACTCAGGGGTGTAAACTGTGCGGTAGATGAAGAAGCCCCAGGGCCACCCTTTGCTATCAGTATAACTGATTAGCTGCACAGCAGAGCGCTGCCTATCTTGATACCAGGGCTGCAGACACCAGTGCTCTTCATGCTCTGTATCGAATTCAGGATGTGACCAAGGTGCTGTTCAAGAGGAGTTGTGAAAGAAATGATCCAGGGAAGGATTCCGCTCTCTGGAGTCTGCTGGTTGGGCCATGGTATAACACAGAGTCTAAATGTAATGAAATAGTAGGCTGTAATAGAGGAGAGCTTGAAACTAAAAAAGATGAGGGAAGAAAGAGGTATTAGTAGGGAAAACCTCTGGTTTGCGCTGCTTTTTGGAAGTAGTAATCAGGAATACAGCTTCAAATCTACTAACCGTACCAGAGGTACATTTGATCTCTCATGAATTGCATTCTAGTTATCCTAAGTGTCCTATTCTGGTTATGAGAAGGCTTTATACTTGTTACGCACTATTTGCGAGTGATCCTTACTCTATAGTTAGGGAAATTTAAATATGGCCATAGCATTAACTAAGGAACAAGGATTACCTGGAGCCCTCGATCAAGGTGAGCTGTACGCCATATCGATTTCCTAACCGGAGGAGTCCATTGCAGCCAATTCTAGGAAAGGCAGCTGCTGTTGGATGGTGTCAAAAACCTGCTTCATGAACTGATCCTGTGGGTTCTCAAAGCTAGAAGGCACCAAGTGATCTTCCATACCTTTAAGGACCTTTTTAACCCAGTCAGTCTCTCCCGCCGTCCACAAACTTATTGAGTTGATGCTCCATCCAAGCATCCCGGCAGTCGAGAAGATCCAAGTCTTTGTTCTTGTCCTTGAATGAGGTTTTGATTCCTGCAAGGGACACCAAACTCCGCTTTGGGTGTGAAAGGAATGGTCCGAGCCATAGGCCAGTCAGGAACGTCGATCATAAGGGGTGTTCCACATACCTGATCGGAGAGAGCAACTATTTCCATTCCTTTTCTCGAGACGATTGGTTGGGTTGCTGGATATCTCCGGGTCTGAGAGGTCATCCCGTTGATTCCAGTAATGGGTTTTCAGTCAACATTCTCAGTCCGACGGGGCGTATTGTTGATGCCTGCATTCCAGGGTGTCGCCGTCACCAGTCACCATAAATCAGAAGAAAATGTATAAATTGAGACACGCAAGATGTTCTCAAACCAAACCAGAGATTAGTCTCAACGATGTACTCACACACGATTGCGAGTGCCTTCTTTGCAGCTTGCTGCCTGTCAGGCCTGGCGACGGCGTCGAGTCCTCTTCATAATGCCGACGGCAAGCCGGACTACTCCTTTGACGAGCTCTGGTCTCTGGAGACAAGTTTCTGGGATACCTTTCTCTACCCGACGAACGTAGCACAGATTAACGCCACGGATGACTCTGTCTTTGCCGAAGATGTATTTCCTGCTTAGCACCGATGGAACCACAACCCGTTCTGACATATTGATTCAGGTCCAAGGTCGAGTGGACATCACACGCACCTTTGACGGCCGCGAGCTCAACAACGAATATATCTTTGGACTTTTCTCCGAGCCAGACCACCTTAGTCTCGTGGGCGTCCCCATCGCATACAGCATCACCCAGTTCACAGCCAACGACAACATCGCCTCGGCCACGACAGTCGTCACCTTCAACTCGACCTCCTTCGACGTCATCATCCCGGTAACCATCGACACCTGGATCGAATGGGACGCGCAGAAGAAGATTGTGCAGTACGACGCCACATTCCGGTGGTTCGGGCCCCTCCTCGACGCGCTGCTCAAAGCGCAAGCCGCGAGGATGAATACCACCGACCCGGCCGTGGTGCGGGCAGCGCTTACGCAGCGACTAGCAGACGCAATCTGCCAGACACACGAGGATAACTGTAAGGGGGAGAACCAGCAATACGAGAGTCGGGACGCCTGCATGGATTTCCTGACCAACAAGACGCGCTTCGGACAGGCTTTCGAGCTGGGCCGAGATACCCTGCTTTGTCGCGAGGTGCATGAGCTTATGGTCAAGTACCGGCCGGATATACACTGCTCGCATATCGGGCCTACGGGGGGTGACTACTGCGTGGACGATCTATCGTATGAGCAGGTGGTGCTGGAGAAGTATTTCCGGGACTCGTTTATTGCGTATGGGTATGGCCAGGAGCAGAATATCTGGGTTGCGTAATTCTATGATCTATCAGTTCATTCAGATTGCCGTTGTCCTAGCCAATATGAGTTATACTGCACTTTCCCCCTCGTTCTCTCTCCAGAATATCCAGGAAACAGAAATTATCAGCTTTAGTCCAGCAGCCATCCACAGCACAGGCGAGATATCGTGTGTCGCCTTGGTGATCCATCCTCCAGCAATTGCACCGATCAGTGTCAGAACGAACGCCACCACTCGTCGATCCCGCTTCTCGTTGCGAAGGAGAAACAGCTTTGGATCCGACACAAGATCACAGAGAAGACTGGTAATGACCACAGTAGGGATCTCGTTGAACCCCAACGCCCGACTAGCGACGATCTGACCTGCAGACTGGATACTCAAGAGCACGATAGGCGCTTCCTGGCTCCAATGGGTCTCGCTCGAAGCAGGGTCCGAGGGGATTCCAGCTATCACGCCGCTTTGTACCAAGGAAGCAGTGATTACCAGCATAGCGACCTGTAGAAAGAAAGAGAGGACTAGTGTCACTCTGCGTTTCGGTCCGAGAAGACGGCTCAGCCGGGCGAAGAGAAAGCAGCCGATGACGAAGCATCCGATCGAGGTGAGAGAGCGCGCCCAGCCGTATGGCTTAAGGTTCTGGTTTGAAGCGCCCAGGCCGACGAAAATGGTGTTTCCTTGATGATGAGCTGCGTTCGTGACATGGTTCGATTGACTTACCCGTTTGCATCGAGACGAACGTGTTGTAGGCTGCGCAATCATTAGTTGTAGGGTACGGGGGATGACGGGCCTACTTACCATTGTAGAGTGTGCTATCCACAAGACCAGAGCTCAGACAGCACCCATACAGGAGCACCTCTGCGTGTTTGGCATTGATGTCTGTTTTGAAGAAACCAGCGACGCTTTTCTTGGAGTCCGACGAGGTGGACATTGTGACGGGTTTCTTGATGAGAGCGCAGCGAGGAACGAGATTGCAACAGTGAGAAAGTGGGAGACCGTAGGATATCCTCAAAACGACAATTCCAATTCACCTCGTGTCAATGTGAGATTTTCTCCCCGGGCTGGATTAAGACCCTGGTTGTCCGCAGCATTATGCAGGGAGATTAGCACGGATTTACCCGATATCAATCCGGGCCAGTCGGTCCAGGCCAATCGATGCAACATTCCTTTCGGATTCCGGCATGATTATCAGATCATAATCTTCTCAAACTATTCGAGCTGGTCAATGAGCGGCGTGACGATGGCGCCGAGACTGCATCCCTAGTGCCAAGTGGCTTGGCTAAGCGACGCCGGAGGATCTGTGCATCAGAAGGTGATGTTGACCTCGGGGTGATTCGGTGCACTCGCAGAGGCCAGAGACCACCTTGAATTGCCGAATTGACATGTTCTGCAGTTCACCAAAGCGGGTTCTTCCCACAATGAGTCCGGGATTGTGTTTCGCAAGATCCAGCACGTTCAACTTGTTACTACCTAACACAGTTTTACAGCCTCCAAGGCGTTTGTCTAGCAGTATGATACTGTATTTTCCCCTCTTTGGGAGTCTTTACTTTTGCTCGGGGTATGCTGGGAATGAAGCTTTCGATTACGTCTAAGACGTGGATGATTTACACGGTCCGAAATCCAAAAAGCGCCACCTTTGACAAAACCAAGAGCTTGAATGGCGACCGTCGCTGGTCAATAGCACGTCCAGATTGCAGACCAACTTCTTCACGGGCTTTTTCTTCCTATAAGCGCGTCGAATGCAGACGCATGGCATTCGCTTGGCCTGCGAACTTTGTGGCTATGCTGTATCACGCTAGCTACAATAAGGATTCCTGAGCCGGGGTCTTCTTCAAAGAGGGATCCTCGTTGGCTGATATCTGTCGGCCCGGAATCCGATTTTGTTGTGAATGATCCTTCTCAGTCGCGTTGTTCGTCTTACTGGATCGTTAAGGGCGTCGATGAACCATCCAGAATCACGTCTGCATTTTGGGCGCGCCTGCGTCGTCAGCCGCCAAGCGAAGCTAATATAGATGATACGCAAGACGGATATGGTTCGATATGGCCGAGGTGGTTGCTACGAGCCGACATGGAGGGTGTTATCCAGCAGTGTCAGCTGCGATGACGAGAGATGCTCGACGAGGGTCACGTCCGACGGGGAGAAATTGCGCCGAAGGCGATTGTGAGAGAAATGAGGTTATAAAAGGACGGGTCTAGTCAGACCAGATTACAGTCTTCACCAACTATCCTCCCAACCTCTCAACACCACTATCTTCTCGGGACTTTGTCAACATGAGCATCACCATCACTGTAGAGAAGGACGGCTTCTACGAGGTCAACGGAGAAAGCCGTGAACCCACAATCAGCCTGTACATGATTGCCGGTGCTACTAAGCTCCGCAAATATCTTCGTGATACTGACGAGCTGATTGTCTGCCCGGGAGTTTACGATGGCCTGTCCGCACGGATTGCCATGCAACTTGGCTTCAGGGCCCTCTACATGGTATGCATACTATCACATCTTTCACATCACCTTCAGTGCAAATGCTGATCTTGTAGACTGGTGCGGGAACAACCGCCTCTCGACTCGGAATGGCGGATCTCGGGCTGGCCCAGCTCTACGACATGAGAACCAATGCAGAGATGATTGCGAACCTGGACCCCTTTGGTCCTCCTCTGATTGCCGACATGGACACTGGGTACGGAGGTATGTATTCCCCACCCCTCTTCAACTGCTTAGACTAACCACACCAGGCCCCCTCATGGTTGCGAAATCCGTCCAGCAATACATCCAAGCCGGCGTAGCCGGTTTCCACATCGAAGACCAAATCCAGAACAAGCGATGCGGCCATCTCGCAGGCAAGAAAGTCGTGTCCATGGACGAGTACCTGACCCGGATCCGAGCCGCAAAGCAAACCAAGGACCGCCTCCGCTCAGATATCGTGCTGATTGCGCGCACTGACGCCCTCCAGCAGCACGGCTACGACGAGTGCATCCGGCGTCTGAAGGCGGCGCGGGACATCGGTGCGGATGTGGGTCTATTGGAGGGATTCACCTCCAAGGAGATGGCGCGCCAGGCGGTCCAGGACCTGGCGCCGTGGCCGTTGCTGCTCAACATGGTTGAGAACGGGGCCGGCCCGGTGATTACGACCAAGGAGGCTAAGGACATGGGGTTCCGGATTATGATCTTCTCGTTTGCGTCGTTGGCCCCTGCTTATCTCGGCATCAGGTCTGCCCTGGAGCGGTTGAAGAACGAGGGGATCACGGGTATCCCTGAGGGTCTCGGGCCCAAGAAGCTGTTCGAGGTGTGCGGGTTGATGGATTCGATGAGGATTGACACAGAAGCTGGTGGCGATGGGTTTACGAACGGCGTCTGATTTTCCTTTTTTTTTCTTTCCCTTATTTTACTTTTGGATTTGTTTTCCGCATTTTCCTATTTCATACTTCTACTTACTCTTGTTTCCTACGTCTCAGTCCACCATTTAGCATTAGTTTAGAATCAAGGAATTTTTCAGAGCACACATAATAAAGAGCACAAAGTATATTACACGGTGGCTGTGAATGCAGTTAATATCCAGATAGCCAATAAGATATGTATCTTAAGAGAGAACAAGCGTTCGCTTAGTGCTGACCACTCGTTGACCTAGCCAGCGTAGATCCAATCCGGATGCCGAGATCATCTCGGTCCATTTCGGGTCAGCGTTGGATAGGTTTAATTTCTGTTCCGTCAACAGAAAGTGAGTCAATTGCCATGAGACTTAGCTGCTTGTGAGTCTTGGACCCCTAAGTAGCCGAAAATACGTCTGAAGGCTCAATTGGTGGAGAAATGCTCCTCACGATGGTAAGATTTGATTCTACAGATTCAGTGTCAGAATATCGATTAAACCCATAAACGTGCGTGTCCATGACATGACCCTGCTTTTGAACTTTCGATCCACAGCTGAGATGCACTAAGGTGACCGAGGCAGAATCCACCTTCCCATGAGCAGGGGCGCGCATCTCCCAAGTACCATGAGATTCGAAATACTTGATATCGTAGCAATGCTATTCAAACCAAGCTGAGCCTCAGTTTGCCTCTCCTGTGTTACGCTAAGTGTAGTAAAAAAGCCAATTCCCCGACCAGTTTTGCAGGAACAAAACTACTACAGCAGGCAGGGAGGGTTGACACCTCGGGGGGTAAAGGAGCGATTAATACTACCAGACCAACACGCACTGTTCAGCCAGCCAAGGCCCGTAAGAACAGGCAATATCGGCCATTCAGAACTCGTCCTCCCTCCATAAATGGATACCGCTATTCAAAATCTACAGGGTTAGGCCCACGTTTTCCAGGGCACAGAAGCCGGTTCTCATTTGCCTCGGAAGACTAACTACGTGAGGCTAGCACTAGATTACTGACCTTGACTTCACCCCAATGAGATAGTGGAAGGATCCGGAAGGATTACGAACTAGGGACATTATTATGCATGTCAGAAGGCTTCATATTCCGTGATTGGTATACCTCTGATATCAATCTCGGTGCTCGGGTGCCGCGCGACGAACTGCGAGAATAAGCGGCAAACCGCGCCAATGGGGACATAACGACGCTAGTCCATGACTACGACGACGTGTTGGAGGAGATATTTGAATGACACCATGAGAATGAGTTGATCCGCTGTATCCCCCAGCCTGAGGATAACCATGTGGATACCATCAAGTATGCAGGTAGCTTGGGACGTAATGGCGGTAAGTATTAAATAGAGAAGTAATTATGCAGATCTGAAGGTTTCATATTTTGTGATTATCCGCCTGTGGTATCGATCTCGACTCTCTTCTGTGATTCATTGAAATGCAAGAACAAGCAAACAGGGATACACTGGCGAGTGCGATGCCTATGCGACGCAGCAAATGCGTGCTGGGCGCAGGGAAAACAGAACGTTAAGATACATCAATTGCTCCAATACCCAAAGAGCCAGAGAATGCATGCTTCCTGGAAGACCAGGGACAATACAGGAACACAACGAAGATATCAGATAAGCGCATGAAACATCCCAGGAATCTGAAGCTTTTCACAAAAAGTAAATTCCGTAGAAGGCCGAAGATTATTGAACGACACGATGGGTTTGCAAGTGAATGCGAGGGGATCCCTGGATCTGGCTACGGACATCAGCCTCATATTGAGGGATGGGAGCTGTTTCTATTCCTGGGATAGTCTTCCACGGAAGATTCATCCATCCTGCTCCAGACCGTCTCAGGGTAGAGGAGAACGTCGCCCTTCCATAATCCAGGCCATAGACAGAAATCCACGACAGCGCCTTCTCCTTCTTCTCCTGTTACGCTTTGCATTGTCCCAGATATGAATTTGTCACCTGAGGAGGCATGCGAGAATCTATATTGGGCTGGCTGTCGCTCAAGGCGGCGCTTGAAGCGCACACAGCTTTGAATAAGCTCATATAGCTTCTTTTCTCTTACTCCGGGATCGGCAGATGCACAAGAGCCGAGTTGCTCGATTTCTCTCATGCAATTCATGGCCGCGTCTTCCAGATATCCTTTGACGAAAGATTGGATGGCCATACTGGTTGCTGAGCGCCAGTTGCCAGCCACATGACCTGGGCCTGGACAAGCAATGGTCAGCAGAAGTTAGAATAATAATATACTGCTGGAGGGGGAACATACACTTGTCAAAAACCTCCGACTCTATGGTAGTCAGGCTATACTCAGTGTCCGGCTTCCTGACTCCGACGATGTACGGGTCAAAGAAATAGTAGAAGAGATATGACGTGACGAATGCCCGGATAAAAGCCCACTTTTGATGCGTATTCCGCGAGTTGTCGATTGTTTCCAGAGGTAGTGGGCTGTACACCATATGGACCAGTTCCAGCCGTGGGAGATTTTCAAGAAGGTCCGGGTTCCTGAAGCTGCCCTTAACCCAAACGTCCAGTTCGTGGCTGAGATTGACCATAGTTTGAGTCGCTTCGTCATCATCAAGAATGTCTGGATGGTACTGCAAGTCATTCAATCTGTCCGTAAGCTCAACAATGTGCTGATCTTTTTGCTGTATCAGTTTCGAGGCTTTATGACGCATCTCTTCATTCTCCTCCTTTTGCCTGCGACATCTTTCCTCTGCCTCTAGTACCAGAGAGTGGAGTTGACGGATGCCGTTGATAAGATGTGTGGGTTCTGCCGCATACCTGCCCTCGTCCATTGCGACTCTGGTCTCCATCGCTGCGTTTACGACAGGTTGATCGCCACTGAGCTCTGTATGTGAGCGCGAATGTTGCACTTTCTTGGCTTGAGCTTGGTGTTGCTGAGGACTCGATTGCATGGGCCCTGCTTTAATGTCAGTTGTGCGGCGTGGCTAAATGGAGAATAAGTGAGGTTATTTACTTCGTTCTGTCACAGACCTATCGTTCATTCCAGAGCTAAGTCGAAAGGAGGAGAGCCACGAAAGCATATCGGGGATTGGGCGAGAGGACGTAAAAAGCTTATGCCCTTTGGATATGGAGAAGAGGTAAGAACGCAAGCTATTTGAGTAACTAAGTGAGAATTGTCTCAGGCGCAAAGCAGCAGGAAGTGAGACCTGTGAGTGAACGATCACTATCAACCACAGCCACTTAACCTTTTTATCTACAGCTCTGGAGCATTTTCACTCTATGCTCCGTATGTTTGAAAGTTATCACTCTCACACTTTCTTATAGCAATCATCAAAGCGCCTGCAGTCATCTTCTGAGTCACGCCTTATCTCAACCCCAGTGTTATATTACTTCTCCCATACGGAGCTGCTCTGCAGAGCTGAACCTCCCGTTGTCTTGTTTTCTCCTATCCCTTGCCCTCGAAGACGACCTCAGACTCCTACAATGGCCGGAGGCCCGCGTATTGTCGTGGGTATTGACTTTGGCACCACCTATAGTGGGTAAATATGTCCCGATTCCTTCTACTGTTTATGATGCTGACTTAACTAGGGTCGCCTGGGCTCTTCAGTCCTCCCCTGAGGAGGTCGAGGTGATCAAATCCTGGCCCGGGGCTAGAAACAGTGAGTCCGACGTTTCCAAATCCAGCTCTCAGGAGCTCACACTACCAGGAACGACGCCCAAAGTACCTACAACTATATCATACGAGAACGGAAAGTTTTTCTGGGGTTATCAAACACCAATGTTTGGCGAGATCATTCGTGGTGTCAAGCTCCTACTTGACTCGACTCAAGAGATCGACTACACACCTGCGGTACAGTCCAAGGACTTATTGACAAAGTATGACAAGAAGCCACTTGACATCGCTCGGGATTGCCTTCAGCTTCTTGTGGATTCGGCAAAGGAAACGCTCCGTCGACGATTCGGAAAGGCCTTGGACGGCATGGAAATTACATATGTACTTACGGTTCCGGCTGTTTGGACTGACAAAGCGAAGAACATGACTTTGACCGCAGCGACTGATGCCGGTATTTCTGCGCTCGATGTGATCCTGGTGTCCGAACCCGAAGCAGCAGCTCTCTCTTGTCTGAACGCAAGTCAGCTCGATACACTCAAGGTAAGCGCGATCCCAAAGACAACCAAACATCAGACTGATCATCAATCAGGACGGCGACGTGGTCATAATATGCGACGCGGGTGGTGGTACAGTGGTACGTAATATCCAAGACGGCAATGGACAAGACGATATTTACCTAAGCAGGACTTGATCTCCTACTGCGTGAAGAGTGTTGAACCCCTTGAATTGATGGAGGTCACTCAGGGAACTGGTATGTTCACCACTGGAAATCCACCATGGCACAATGCTCACTGGCTGAACTTAGGGCCATTTGCGGATCTGTTCTTCTCGACAAGCGGTTTGAAAACTATCTGGCCGGACTCCTCGGGGAGAAAACATACCAAAGGCTATCCCATAAGACCCGGGAGACAGCAATGAACTACTGGCAAGACTTTGTAAATGAACTACTGGCAAGACTTTGTAAAGCCAAATTTTGCTGGTGCCTTGATTGAAGACGATGACGGATACTCTGAAGTGGCCTATTCTGTGCCTTTGAACGGTGTCAGTGACAAGCGAGAGATAGGGCTAGAGGGTGGATTCTTGACTATGTCAAAGTTAGTCAAGACCTCGTCAGTATCCTACCTATATAGACAGGCTGATCACAAGTAGGGAGAATGTCGGGGGCATATTTCTTCCTGTCGTCGATGACATTGAGAATCTGGTGCAGGAACAGATGCTACAAGTATCCATGGCTGGAATGCAGACCAAGGTGAGCGGCCACGAACAGACATCTTTGACCTTAGAGCATTTACAAGTGATGATACATAGGCTATCCTTTTGGTGGGAGGTTTTGGTTCTTCCGAGTATCTCTTCCGCCGTCTGCAATCCGCTGTGATCAATGTGACTGTGATGCAGCCCCCTAATGCGTGAGTCTTCCTGTATAATGAGAAATCTCACTTACTGACACCTGTCACAGATGGTCTGCTGTTGTTCGGTATGTATCCCATTCATCTGCTATAAGTTTTTCCCTAACAAGGCTTCAGTGGCGCTGTATTCCGAGGGCTAGGAGGAAATCAGGTTGGACAGCGCATTGCTCGATGCCACTACGGGGTTACATTCGAGGAAGAATACAATCCACGGGTGCATAACGCAAGGGACAAATATTGGGACGCAATGACCGAAATGTCGTACGTAGCCGATCGCATGAAGTGGTATATTGAAAAGGTGAGGACGTGCAGCAGGTCCCAATTGTTCTCTACTCGGATGTCCAATAATTCCTCTTACTCCAGGGAAAGCCTATCTCCGAAGACGAACCAATCCGAATGAGCCGGCACCAGGACATCTCTGAGGCGAGTTGCATGAAGCAATTAAAAAAGGTCAGCCAGTCGCTGTACATTTGCAACCTTGATAAAGCACCAGACCACCTCACTGAAGGTACGACGGAACCAACCCAATTTCTGCTGCTTATTTGCTAACTTCATAGTCAAGGCGTCTTCAAGGTCTGCACTTTGGAGGCAGACCTCAGCGCAATTCCACCGTACTTATTCCACAGTTGCACCAATTCCTCGGGGCAGAAGTATTACGAAGTTGCTTTCGAGATTGCCATGACACCTACTTCAGCGTCTATTTTGTTTGATCTTGAGTTCAACGGCGTGTCTTATGGATCAGTGCAGGCCAAGTATTAAGCTGTGGTCTTGTTGTTATTTGCAGCGTCGCCTTGATGCTCGCCACATTCACCGAGATTCGTTCTTCGGTCTACAGTCACCATTGATTTGCAACTTACAAAGGGTGCGCATCATATTTGGGGTCTTATGGGCATAATTTGGCAATTTGTTTCACTCTTCTATGATTCTTGGTTTTTGAAGTTAGCAGTGCAAGTCACGACGGTCGAGTTCCATGGCGTCAATTTGATATTACAAGCAGAGTAGAGGCTCCGATGTAGCATGCTGCTTAAATGACAATTTTGCAGTCTAAAGCGAGTAGACCATAAGCAGACATAAACGTACTTTCAATAATACGAGCAGCCATCCATCTCGTCAGGATGCCAAGACTTTTCGGCCTAGAAAAGCCCGTTGGCCATCAGATGCTTTTTCCTTCCTTCATCTGATCAATTCGAGACCATTGGCAGCCCTATGAGTCAGAACGTCTGGTAAAGCGGAACAATTGAAACTGCCTATTTTCCCAACTACAGCAGCAGACAGTACAACGGACTAACTCTTATAAGATCTTGATCGAGTCTGAGAGTACGCTGTCGAATACTTCAGCATGGACAATTTCTACTTTCCCCTAGACCTTTCAAAACTGGAGAATGACCGTCTCCGGCTAGTTCCATTTGATGTAATAGCTCGCTATTTCTCAACCTGTTACGACCACTAACCTCACAGTTGTAGTCTAATTTCGAGGAGCTGGCAGCGACATACGTGAAGTTGTCTTCCGAAACCCCCGAAATCTTCCAATATCTTCCCTATGGACCGTTCGAAAGCCCCGAGGCATATGACCAGTGGTATAGCAATCGAATTCGCCCCACCAAAGAATCGATCATCTTCGCCATCATCCTCAAAGCAGGCATCGTCAGAAAGCGAAAGCCTGGCTCCGATCAGTTTGAGGAACTGAAGGTGGAAGATGGTACCTTTGCAGGTACCACCGGCCTGATCAGGGCGGATCCAGATAACTCTGTTGTCGAGGTGGGACATGTAGGTATTCTTCCTTACTTGTGTTGTAAACGTACTCATCCCCATAGGTCGTGATTCTTCCACGGTTCCATCGAACGTTTGTCGGAACAGCAGCTCACACACTGCTTCTGGACCATATGTTGGATCCTCCACCTAATGGACTCCATCTCCGACGCGTCCAATGGCAGGCCTTCAGCACCAATCAGGCCTCGATTGCCGCGGCTCAGCGCCTCGGTTTCCAGCTCGAGGGCATCATTCGCTGGCAGCGAGAGTTACCAGAGGGCAAGAAGGGAATTGAGAGCGGGGTCATTGATGACAAAATGCCTAGGTTGGACCCAACCGGTCAGAAAAAGCTTGGGCCGGGCCGTCACTCGGCGATGTTGAGTTTATGTTGGGATGACTGGGAGAATGGAGCGAGGGAGAGACTGCATGCTCTCTCGCAGAAATATGCCTAGCTTGTAACGTGAGACCAAGAACGTCGGGCTAATCAACTCCTCTCTTGGGAACTCCTTTTTTGCTCCTATGCAATGATTGTGGAATTCAAAGTCTAGCAAGCCACATGCACCACCTTGTGTCATTGAGACAGTCAATGAGGCATGGCGTCTTCGCAGGCAGGCTGCTACTTATCAATGAAGTCTGTTTAACAAGCTCAAGTCGCAACCATTGTATTTGTTGGTCAATTTGACTCAACAGCTTCCGAAACCGCTGTCGAAGAACACGCATGATGAAAAGCTTGAGGCTTTTAATCGATCAGCGTATTGGCCAGCTCGGCCAAGGATCGTATTCGGGGAACGTATCGAGACATTGGCAGTAGGCACTAGTCTTCGGACGGATGCCGAATATTGAGTCATGCATGCACTGCCCAATGAGTACGGGGATAGATACATGGAGTCTGGTGTGGCCTACCAACAATGACACCCCAAAGAAACTATCGCTTGGCTAGTTTGAAGCAACTCGATTCTCCTTGGCTAAACAGACTATTCAAGAGCTAATAATAAGTCCATGTCGATATTCAAAGAAATGCAAAGATGCGGAGCCATACTGTACTCCGTACTCCGTATCCGAACTCCGAAGCCATACAAATTCCACAAGCTGCGGAGTAGATTGACTAGACCCTTGGACTTAATAATAATCCTCGTATTTTAACTCGCCTTGCAGCCTGAGTCACCTTCACCGATCTCGGACATCTCTCGGGGTTGTTTCTCAACCATTCAAAATTAACACTTTGACACGCCCTTGAAGCTCGGCATCGAGCCACCAGCAGCACCAGTGGACCAGATACGAGGCACTATGCCAAACTGAGGCCCCGATGACTCCATTATGACTGGTTTGCAGCATTTGCAGGTGATTCTGCCTATTATTCAAGCATTGTGTCTAGACTTTGGATTTGCGTCATTCCTTGTGTTTGTCATATTTGGAGAGTTTGTCATCCACGGAGATGAGTGTATTGATATTCTGCCTTGAGGGAGGAAAGATGTATATAAAGAGCCAGATATCTCTGTTAAGAGCTATCATCTACCAAGCATCTACATCAAGAATCAAACAAACTTGTTATCCATCGCATTCCACTTGTGAATCTCCCAATTGCCTACCTTGAGCTCCGTGAAATCAACAAGACATACAAGGACTCTATACATAATTGCGAGACTGAGCACTAGCTTATCATTCAAAACACAATCAATATACAAAACACCGAGTCCCAAAGAACATAACCACGTCAACATGTCGCCCAAGTCCTTCAAGTCCGCCACCACCCTCGACAACGCCTCAACCCACACAACGTCCTCGACAGCCTCGACACTTAAGGGCATGTTCACAAAGTCATTGAAGCTGAAGGCCGCCGAGAAGGCGCCTTCAGATCCTAAGCCTCCAAGCAAAAAGTCTCCAGCTAAGGACTACACCGCTGCAGCCGTACACCGCGAAGCTGTTGCTCAGTACCTGGCCCTTCGGTGATCTGTGTCTTCGAAACGAACATTGGATTGTATGACTTATGGAAATTTATGGATACCATTGCGCCGGCGCTTTTGAAATAATATAATGTCTGGAGGATGATGTGATATATATCTTTGTTGCTGCCCGAACTACGATAAGGGCTTGCGTCTTTCACGGGGAAGGTATTTGGTGGACTTATGTATATAGGGCTTTGGAATTTGGTACAATCGAACTAATAATGAGTCGATAATTCTGTTCTCTTGGAGCGTTTCTGTGTACGGAGGAGAAGCATGCTTGTGGCGCTCTGACACATGTGGAGATGTGTCACAATAAGCTTACCTGAGACAGGACTAGCAGGGATATCTGCAAGGGTGTCGTCGCTACGGACGACTCGCATCTGGTCTTTCATGTGTATAAATGGAATTTGACTACAATAACTACAGTTGACGGACTTGATTCTACTTGAAGCAGCCTCCTTCCGATTCGTGATCTACGATCTCCTCTATAGGACTGATATAGGACTGAAGCTACATGAGCATACCCCAGTTTACTGTTACTGCAAGCTCCGCGCTTCCCAGCTGACCTTCTACAGTATTTCAGGACATGCGAACAGGGTCATTGTGACTTTTTTTGCTTATTGTGATGAATATGCCGGCAATAAGATTAAGCGGGGCATTTATTGATAAGCAATGGCATTATTCTCCACAATTCGCACGCTTTCCGCTGGGATCTATCGTCATTTCCCCTCACTATTGCTAACTTCGCAGGATTATAAATCAACAATTGCTGTGCTTCCTATATAATAGAGTGATATACACACTCTGTGGTTGTCAACCATCTCACCATCCGCGAACATAACAGCACCATGTCCGCCCCAAAAATCACCCTCTACACCAACCACCGATGCCCCTGGGCCCACAGAGCGCATATCGCCCTCAAGGAGCTCGGCCTCGACTACGAAGAGGTTATCATCGATCTTAACACACCTCGGGAGCCATGGTATCTTGAGATCAACCCGGTAGGACACCTTCATCCCTGGGAATGACCGTTACTCTAACAGCCACAGCGCGGCCTCGTCCCCGCCATCTCCTACAACGGCAACGTCATCACCGAGTCAGCCATCGTCGCCCAGTTCCTTGCAGACGCGCATCCATCCCACCTCGTTCCTCCCTCCAATAGCGTCGAAGGCGCCCTGCAGCGCGCCCGCATCGCCTTCTTCGTCGATACCTTCTTCAGCAAGGTCCAGCCCCAGGTTATGGCTTCTCAGCGCGCCACAAGCGACAAGGACCGCACTGCAGCGGGCGATGCTATCGTCGCGGCGATTGAGAAGGAGATCGAACCCATTCTGGCCTCGCAGAAGGGATCCGGCCCGTTCTTCGGCGGGAGTGAGAAGTTGACCCTGGCGGAGGTGTTGACTGGCTCGTTCCTGTTACGGTTGCTGTCGTTCCATAAGCCTGAGCATGGACTGCTGAGGGAGGATTTGCCGGAGCTGTTGGAGAAGAGGACTCCGGCGTTTACGAAATGGGCCAAGGCGACGGTGCAGCAGGAGAGTGTGAACTTTATCTGGGATGAGAAGAGCGTTGTGGAGCAGACGAAAAAGAAGATTGCGTCGCTGGCTAAGAAATGATCGACCTGTGCTGTATATCAGTATTTGAATAACGGCCTATTATGATATGACTTTTCTTGCTATCAACAAACGGAAGTCCCTATCGTTCTTTTGTAATTCCGAACATACTCCACTTATCATGATGCACATGAAAGGCCATGGTGGGACCTCGTATTCGTTCTAAAAATAACCAGCAGAAATTTATCTAGGCGTACCACCCAGTCATTGTTGATGCTCAGTCAAGAATCATCATGGACGCGTCCAATATCAACGATATCACACAAGACGCCCGTCTCTGCGTGCGCACGGGACTGTACTCCCAGGCCGAAATCCTCCAACAGCTCATCGACATCTACGAACTTCCGGAGCACGGCACAACCGTGGTCCAGCAACTGATTCAATCACTCTGGAACCAGCAACTGGAAGAAGAGGCAACATGGCCCGATCGACCGACCGACGTCGAAAAGCTCCAAACCGCTTTCTCCCGTCTAGAAGACGAGGACCGCATCATCTGTCGCATGAATTTCACCTGCTGTCAGACCTGCGGGAATGCCGAGATTGGCGGGGAAGCAAATGAGACACACATCGGGTACTGCTTCTTCCATCAGCAGGATACAGAGGGAGCAGTCATGGACGGGGGGCTATCGCTGCGATACGGAGATCTCGAAGAGGATAGTAAAGACGAGAGCGTGGTGGATATCGGCCAGAAAATCGCTGCAAGGCTACGAGAGGAAGGGCTTAACGTGGACTGGAATGAGGACCCGAAGAAGACAATCGAGCTTGATCCGTTTCAGTGGCGCGTCCGCCTTGGTCGGTCCTGATCGGTTTCCATTGCTCGTTATGTGTCGGTCATTTCTCATCCTGGCCATCGTAGCGATTCATGAAGGATTGTGGTTCGAGCCTGGCCATAGAAAGGTCGAGGCACTCGACGACTAATAGTCAGTTCACCAGTGGAGATTGTGCAGCCTAACTCCGACGATTGCGTTTCCTCCTGATATCCAAAGACCGCAAATAAAGTATTTCTGCTGGTAGCTGACATGTTCAGACCGGCAGAAGCGGCGTTCTTCCCGATCGAGCACGGAGAAAAATGCCGCTGCACAGTTCAGGCTGAATTCCTCAGTGACTATTAATGTATACTACATGTACCCCTCAGTATTCTGCAGGAAATAATTCAGCCGCCAATCATGCTCTTTGCTCCATTCTGTCTGAAGAGAATATGGTACTTGAGACAGGCTTCCCCGCGCCGTTGTATATTTAAAGCGCGGGGAGACAGATATGCAAGAGTATATATATTGGAAAGAGATGCAAATGCAAACGAGTTGAATCCACTCAGTACGTTGAGAATTGCGGGCTTCCAAAATGCGAGCCATTGCTTTCCTTTTGTTCTTTACTTTGCTGTTCACTGCATCTGGGACGATTCTTGAGAACGGCCAGGCGCGGTTGAACCCGTATCCGGGGCAAGCGGAGGTTATTACGCTGGACAAAAAGACATGGAGAGACTACAAGCCTAGCGCAAAGGAGATCTCCTACAAGGGGAGATGGGACGACAAGCATATTTCTTGTGAGTCCAACAGAAGGACATAAAAGAAGAATCACTGATAAGAGCAGGGTGGTCGTATGTACCGCAGTCACTTTAATAGACTCCAATTCACATTTCCTAGGGCTCCTGGATTCAAGCTTGCATTCACTGGTGAAAAGGTATGAGAGCTTTATGGAATGAGATGATAAGGCTGACGAGATAGCTTGCCCTGTCCTTTGGCCAATACACCAGTCAAGGAGTCCTCGTGGCATACAGGTGTGTTTGATACCAGGTCGTAATTAGATTTCAAAGCTGATTTGTTGCAGACTGGGTGGCCAGGACTGGCAATTCTCCAATGTCACTGCCAACGCGACATATCAATTCATTGGCCCGACCACGACGGGGCTCAATCTCACTAATGCCGGCGACGCAAAGTCCTTTGAGCTGAGAGGTAGGCATGTACGGGACGCTCATATAACAATCTCGCTAACTCTGGTAGTTACAAACTGGGCCTACGGATACGTTTCCCGGCTCCGTGTACAGCAAGAGTTTACTGACCATAAGCACAATTCAGCTAGCCGGTGTATCCGTCGCCGCAGATGCAAAAATCTCCAGGATCGCTGAGTACCCGAAGATGGTAGAAATCATCGGAGACTCGTAGGTGCACATGCACATGCTCCAGAAAATTCACATACTGATCACTGCAGGCTGAGCTCCGGCGACTACGCTACATACGAAGGACTGTCCTCATGGGCGTATGATTTCGCAGCAGGACTCGGAAACGTAGAATACTCCATTACTGTAGGTTGTCTCTACACTGCTGCCCTACCATGCTAACCGGCAAGGCCTATCCCGGTATCTGCCTCCACGACCAGAATTGCTGGGGAAATCCCCGCGGTCAGGTAAGCTAGGCCCTCCATTGTCGTCTTCCCGACTGACCACCAGGCCTACCAATGGTACCGCACATCTGACACATCCTGGCGGGCACACGAGATCTACGGCGACAATCCACCCAAGTGGAACTTTGCAGCTCAGCGTCCAGCCGATCTGGTGGTCATCAACATTGGCACAAACGACAACAACCCGACGAACAATGTATCAAGCACAGACTACTACAACGACTACATCACTCTCGTGGGCAACATTCACAAGATCTGGCCCAAGGCCGATATCGTTCTTATGGTGAGTCCCCTCAGCAAAGTAGGTACGGTACCGTGCTAATAATGGCAGTCGCTATGGGGTGGCTTCGGAGCTTCGGGGGATACATACGTGCAGGGCCCTATATGGGTGGATGAGATCAAGCGGGTTTACCAGCACTACGAGAAGCAGGGGTTCATCCATTATTTCGACACGACGGGGATCCTGCAGCACAACGATATCGCGCCGCAGTGGCATCCCACGGATTTTGGACATCTGAAGATTGCCGCGCATCTGATGCAGTGGGTGAAGTTGAAGTTTGGGTGGGAGTTTGGGGCTACCGGCCCTGAGGTGCATCACGGGACTTTGTACTGGAATGATCAGGCAAATTACTAGTAGATGCCGCTGAGGTACAAACCGCTCTTTACCGTCTTCTGCCGGGCCGCTTCTCGAGGTCGATGCCGCAACTCCTCGGATTTCCTTCATCAAGGCCCCTTCGCGGGAGAAGGCCGACCCAGCGCGTACAGTTTGCAAACGCACCGTGTCGTAGAGATGGTGAGCTGCATGTTCCTTAGCCATCCTTCTAAGTAGTCAACGATGCAATCAACTATCCTTGCGGATAGAAATCATACTAGGATCATTAGCAACTAGACCCAGGCAGGGATATATCATATGCAAACGAACCAATAAAGCGTATACCACGTCCACAGAGGGCTGTCCCTGCCTCCTCATGGTGGCACCGTGCCTCGTGCACACCGTTCAGGCTAAGCTCACCGAAGATGCATAACCCTCGGGGTCGTCCCGTCTTTGCGGAGACGGAATATGGGGATTTTTGGTAATGGGCTGATACTCGGCCTTCCACTCGGAGTGGCAAGCTTTTAGGGCTTCTGTCAGCTCAGGTCTCTTCTAGCTGACCTCGCCGAATCTCCTGCTCAATGGATTGCATAAATAAAACTGTAGCAGTTGTAAGAATAAATAATGAAATACTAGTAAATAATGGTCTCTGCACCTCCTCTAGCTATCATTACTTTGTCGAAAGTTGGGTCCTTGTATGGTCAAAGTTGCCGGACGATGTCCAAGGATTCCAATGAGATGAAGGAGATTGCCTCGTGCGTTCTCAATCTGCCTGATCTTGCGCTGATGAGCCTACCTTCTGCGCAGATGGTTGTCCAGATTTAACAAGGATCTCGTCCGTGCCTCACACAGATCTTAAAGGTCACTGTCCTTCGAGTTGTTCGCACCCTTTTCGTCGTTAGGGAAGTATTTGACTGATGTGGGTTGCGTCTCCGAGGAGACCTTGGTGCGCAGAGGCTACCTCTCTGCCATTCATTGGGTAGCTATGCTCCGACCTGCAGCAGAGCTAGAGCACGGTATTTTAACTGACAGCCTAGTCTAGCCCGTAGGCGTGGCTTTGTTGCTGAGATGGTGGTAGTCTTGCATACCGTCCACGTCGAAGTGCACTTTTATGGCGAATCAACACCGGGAGTAGCTCGCACTCTGATAGATGGGCATAACTTCCAGCCAATGGGGAGTACACCGAGAGCACCAACTAATGCAGATAGTGCATTAGTCGGGATTGATCAATTTCCTGTTTTGCACATGCAACACCCCGAAAGTGATGCATCAGACATCGTGTTTTTAGATATGCTACCAAGGCCTACCCCAACTTATTCCACAACCGCCTCTCCAAAATACTCTGTCAATTGTCTTCCCCAGGAAAAATGAGGTTGGCATGGAACGACTACTCCGGAAGAAACTTCAACTGCAACACCTCCTGCACCGCCTCATGGATGGTCTCTTGCTTCCGTAGAAACTCCAAAAGCTTGTCAATACTGTCATTGTCTCCTTGAGCGATAAGGTTGATCAGTGAATTGAGTGCATTTTTATAGCGTTCTTTAGCTTCATAGATCGGGTCCTCCGAGTCTGGCTTTCTGTTTTGCACAGTCGTTGAGGCAGTGCTTGTCGCCTGTGGAGTTGTCAGCGGCTAGATTTATGAAGGCGAGTAATGACAGTACCTTTGAAGACTGGTTATTTTCTTGCATCATGAGATACCCTCGGGGAACAATGCTCGTGAGCTGGAATCACTGCCTGCCGTCTGTAAGAGCTGTCAAACACAATTGAACTTCAGGGAGACCTGGAGCCTACTATATCGAATCTTCAGACGAAGGGGTCAGCATGAACATAAGAATGCTGTAGATAGAGATTCAACATAAGCGGTCAATGGAATCATTCGGTCCTATAAACAATGAGCCTGAAGAAAGAGAGTCGGCGACAGATAAACCCAGACATCGGGCAGCAGATCATTGTCCACCAATTAATAGACCAAGAAGCCTGGGCCTGTCAAGCCCACCAGTACGCATTACAATTACCCCAGAGTCCGGGAGCCTGCGTATCTGTCGTGTGCAATGTGTGTTGATCTGTTCTAGCCCAATTATTGAATCTATGAAGCTCATGCTTGATAGCCATTCCGGGGGAAACAATTAAAATACACTAGAAATCGGATCCAGCTATTGGTATGCATTGACCCAAACATGAGGTCCAAAGCGGACCTGCTAAAAGGCTTCTGGATCATCCCCAACCTAATATATCAGACGGCATTTCGAAAGGACGCCACGAAGAGCATTGCCCCGTTAGGTGCTGAATTTATCTATATTAGGCAAGAAACTAAGACATCCAAGCTTATGGCTTGATGATCGACCTATTTCAATAGTCGTTGAGAATGGCTGCCTATTGGCTGGCAGTGCATCCCTAAATTAGCCATGCAGCTGAAGTTGATAATTGTCTAAGAGGAGGATAAATGGGGCTATCTGGCTAGTTCTTAGAGATATAGTTCTCCGCTCAATATTTTATTTGTAAAGCAAGGACATGTGAATTCCCTTTTGTGGCTAGTTTTGCCCTTTCAGTATGGCATCTTGCAAACTCAAGGATTATTTAGCCCAGGTGCTTAACTCTCCATTACATACTTCAGGTTGAGCTAGACATTAGAATCTGTGCAACAAACTTATTAGAGACTTATATGGGATCTCATCCGTTCTAGCATGTCTTAAACAGCAGCAATAGCCTTTTCTCTCATAAGTACTGCTTTATCTACTCCAAGGGGCTTAACTCAAAGGCAATCAAGGAGATATACTAAGCCATTTTTAGAACAGCATGGGCGGTGACCCATAGCACGAAATCTTACCTTAGCTGGTCCACATGTATCAGGACATGAATCCTTCACTAGGCTTGGGGTGAAGGGGGTAGCTACGCAGTGTTCTATTGATAATGTCTGCGAATAGGCTGCCCTTGTGGCAGAAATACACCAGGTAAAGAATATTGTAAGGATATTGTAGAAGATGATAGCGACTAAACCAAGCATGGCTGGCCGTATATTAGCCTAGTCGGAATAAACTAACTATTATCCATATCAAGTCGCAGACAGATGTGGTGATATTTGTGATTTGAATACAATTGCTTTCATAGACTAGACGCAGGAGCAAACACTATACCTTAAAGTATAGATAATTTGTATAATGCATCCCACATCGCCAGTATACAGATACAAGAGCTACCTATTTGAGTTTATTCAAGCCCAATCTAAAAGGTGGGACAAAGTCACTCCGTGGAAAGGCAGGAAAGCTCTTCAACCTCCCGCTATAACATACTCTGACGGACCCTGTGGCTCCTGACTAAAACTTCTCAGGGTAATGCTGGGTTTCCTTTAGACGCCACACCTGACCCGTGCCAGAGACAGCACTTTGACTGGCTTAAGTCAATTCTGTCTGAGAGGTTGGGGAACTCATTTCGGCCTCACGCTCTTTCTCCGACCCAACCAAGATCATTGACGGATGACAGAAATTCATGGCAACCATGGTCAGAAACATCAAAGCAGAATCAAAAATATACATGAAGGCTTCATGGCTGATGAGGTACCCATTGTTCCCCTGCGCATATTCAATCAAGCGAAAGATTGACCTCACCAGAATCAGCACACTCGCGGCGTACAGGCCCACGAGCACAGTTTCCCATGTTCGCGAAGTCTTTTCAGAAAGCCGAGCCGCAAGTGCTGTTACCTCATGCGTAGGGTATTTGCGAATTCGGGAATGAAATAACGCACAGGTGACGATGAAGAAGCTAAAGAAGACCAATTGAACACATAGACCTCCGACAGTAATATGCTCGCCGAGGTTGTAGCTGCTGATTGTACCGCTCGCCATGGTACCGCCACCTAGAGCCCGGAAAGTCGTCAGTACTATCGCGTAGCTTATTATGGAGCACATCAGGCCTTGCGCACCTGCAGCTTGCATGAGAAAGGCAATGACATCGCCTGTAACGAAGATCTTGGTCATCCACCGCACTGAAACCAAGCTAAGCTTTTCTGCCCGTAGATAAGTGATCAGTCGACCTAGCACCATATAGATAGAGGCGGCGTAAAGCGGTGGAGCAAGGAGAATCAATATAGTTTGCACACTATAGATCGGGACCGATTCCTTATGATCATGGGCCAAGATCCGGCAGATGTAGCCAATGATCTGGACTGACATCCATTAGCTTCCTAGAACGGTCACAGCAGCCATGATAGGGGGATGCAGTGCAATTGGCACTTACAGAAACCCCCGACTACAAATGCTATGAAATACCAAGCCCGCGCCCGGCTGAGTTGATAGACATGGTATATCGTTGTGAGAAGAAATAAGGCGATAAAAAGCGCTGCTGCAGCCGTCGATGGGGTGTATCTATAAAGTTTGAAATCGATCTGACCGTCGCCTGCCATCTCAAGTGAGGGTATAGACTAGAAACAGTCTACCATAAGCAACAGTGAACAATCAGTAGAGAGCAGATAAAAGGGGAATTGATAATCCATGGAAGAAAAGAGCATGTATTCTGTTTACTTTATTTATATAGGAACGGAACTCTACTGTACATCCCGTCTGAGCAAGTACGATTACGGCTACGATTACGGCTACGATTACGGCTACGATTACGGCTACGATTACGGCTACGATTACGGCTACGATTACGGCTACGACTACGGCTACGACTACGGCTACGACTACGGCTACGACGGCGAGAAATTTCTCTGCCGATGCTGATGGATGCGTCGCTTATGGCCGGGGAATGGGCCAATGATTGCAACCTGTCCCTCGGGCGTGCAGCCTATGAGGCGTCTTGATGCAGTCATTTCATCGCCAGCCTTGGAAGCTGTCGTTCAGGGCAGTCCCTGGAATCACACCTCTACCATCAGACTGTACGCATTGTTGCCTAAACAGTAACTATGACCTATAAGGATCTCTGAGCTATCAACTGTTCCTTGTCTTATTCATTGGCATAGATCTCTTAGCTGTACTGTACGGCAACAGAAGCCCACTTTGCTGTGTCTGAGACAATTCACGCTTATTATAGAGTAGCTGTAATAGGAGGTGAGAAGTTTGATTCTTAATATAAATTAGCACATCTACATTTTAGATTCATAGAAATTTTCACAGCCACGCCTGTTGCTCGAAGCTGCTCTTGTTTCCTTTATTCTCCCTTGGTTCAGTCCATATTGGATTTCTCTCGTTTTTTTAGTATGACACCATGGCCGCTGAAGCTTCCAGTTTCAAACTGTATAGATATGATCCTTCTATTGGTGCGGCTGTTGTCTTTGTTCTTCTCTTCCTTGTTGGTTCCTGCATCCATACGTACCAGGTTGCGCGGACTAGAACATGGTTCTTTGTCCCATTCATCCTTGGTGGATATTGTAAGTCCTCGCAATTCCTGCACACGACCTGCTGCAAGGGCTTATTTGGCGTCTGATTACTAGTTGAATGGATCGGCTACATTGGAGTGAGTCTCATTGATTGATTCCGTCCCATGGAGGGAGGCAATATACTAACTTCTGGATGAGCGAGCAATATCAGGGACACAAAGTCCGAATTGGACTGTCCAACCCTATATTCAACAAACCCTCCTGCTTCTGATTGCTCCTACCCTATTTGCCGCAAGCATCTACATGGAATTGGGCCGGATAGTCCTACTGACGAATGGGGACATACATTGCTTGATCAGGCGACAGTGGTTGACCAAGATTTTCCTCATGGGCGATATCATCTCGTTTATCATGCAAGGGGCCGGTAGGTCGAGCAAGACACTGCCATTGTGCCCGTGTATTGTAGCTAACTATCTCAAAGGCGGCGGCATCATGGCAAGTGGTAGTGCCAGCGCGCTCTCCACCGGCGAGCACATAATTATCGGAGGTTTAATTGTACAGCTGATATTCTTTTCTCTGTTTCTGTGGACCACCATCAAGTTCCATATTGGGATCCAAAACAGTCCGACTCGGAAAGTCGTCCATTCGCAGCCGCCGTGGGAGAGGCACATTTACGCAATGTATAGTGGCAGCCTTCTCATCTTCGTCCGCTCCATCTTCCGTCTCATCGAATATGCTCAAGGCAACGACGGCTATCTCGTGACACACGAAGCATACATGTATATTTTCGACGGCGTGCTAATGCTTCTGAACATGGGCGTGTTTGCTTGGATCCACCCGAGTGAGATAAACGCTTTGCTCAAACCGGGGAACAAGGCAATAAGGCGCGTCTACCTTGTCTACTCTGTGGGGAGTAGATTACCAGGTTGAATGGAGTATCTTGCACATTCTCATTCGAGTCATTCCGGGCGCCCTCTAGTTGACGCATTGCGTTTATAGTGACCGGTCGTAAACAATTCAATTTATGGAACAGGGAGGCCTATAGCGCTGTTTACATGTATCATACGCTTTTTGAACGAGATGAACGTGCATGGGGTTGGGCCAAGGCCGTGGGACTGGGGGCCGACTTAAAAACTCATCTGATTCGCATCCGATAGAAGGACTGGGCGTTTTCGCTTTCGTATTCGTACTTCTGGAAGTTCTGGTAGTTTTAGAATAGGTTTTTGTGGGTCTTTCCGTGCGTGTCTCCAGCCTGACTCAGTTAGTTGCCGCAACCGCCACATTCGCAGTTCCCTCGATGCACGCCTTATCCTCAAAATGCCTACCTCATGTTCTCAGCCTTTGTCTAATCTCAGGTGACTACTACATACATGCGGGTATCTCCTACAGGCATTTTATATAGCCCTCAGCTGTCCTGGCACCTTACCTTCCTGTTATGGCTACGCGGAGGTCGCATAAAAAGTCCCGCAATGGTTGTGACCAGTGCAAAGAAAGAAGAATCAAGGTTTGTCCTGTTTAAATTCCACCCAAGATCTGTCATGGATAGCCTTCCTGTTGATTGTTACTTACATGCACGCCTTATGGCCCTATTCATCTGATCTAGTGCAATGAGGACCACCCCTGCGGTAATTGCTCAAGGCGTGGTATGGATTGCTCCTATAAACGTCGTCACAGCCCTTCTCCCATAGGAGAAGGACTGGGCAATGTGTTAGGTCTAGCAGCTGGCGTGCAATCTCCTCGGGAGTTATGCAACTCCCGACTTTCATCGATTTCCCATGGCGATACCTTTGGTTCGTTTCTTGAGAGGGTAGCAGAGGCAGCCTACATTGCCCAAGAATGGACCAGCCAGGACCCCGAACTAATGCATCATTTTACGCTCCACACTTCCAAGTCTCTCGCTAGGCGGCAGCAAATGCAAGATACATGGCAAATTACTTTCCCGACTTTGGCTTACTCATATGAATTCCTGATGCATGGCATTCTTGCCCTGTCGGCGCTCCACCTCGCCCATCTTAAACCTGAAAATCACAGCCGGTACATCACAAGCTCCAGATTCCACATCTCCCTCGGCTTGCGCTCTTTCCGGAGAATACTTCCGTCGCCCACGACTGACAACTGCTGTGCATTGTTCGCCTTTTCAAGCCTGATCATGGTCTACGTATATGCTTCCCCAGCAGAGTCCGCGGATGTCGACATGGTCGACACGCTCGAATCCACTCTGCATTTGTTCAAGTTGTGTCGGGGAACCCTGGTCCTCAAGCCTTACATAAATCATGTGCGAAACAGCTCTCTAGGGCCACTCTTTCGGCAGGAGTTTGGTATGCAGGAGTTTGATGGAAAGTAAGTTCTATTTCCAGACTTCCCCCTTTCTTGTGAGCATGTCGTACAAACAAGTTCGACACATCTACCCCTCGCATTTTCTCAGTTCCAACCTCTCTGGAGCCACCAATACGGGAGCTGGGTATTTCGCAGCTCACAATGTAATTAGGGAGACGTCAAGCAATATATTTCAAGGAGTGGAGCCCCAGCTTGACCGGCTTAGGCAGATTGTTGAGTCGGATACAGCGGAGCCTGAAGAAAGAAACACACTTTTCCAAGCGCTTGACAATCTTGCATTATCATTTAAGGCTATCCACAATGCTGAATTACCGTTGGAGTGTGGAATGATCTACATGTGGCCGCTCTCTGTCAATGAGGAATTCTTCGATCTTCTGAGGCAAAGGCACGCCGTCGCACTTTTACTGCTAGGCTTTTACTGTGCTCAACTCCATGTCTTTTGTGACTACTGGTTCGTCGGACGGCGAGGTCATTCGCTGTTTTCCAGCATTTCGGCTGTTCTACCCAGTCGACTCACTCCATGGCTGGAGTGGCCAAGAGACTTCATATTCCAGAACCAGAATATCTAGGAACAATATATCATTTCGATGTGACCTCTCGATTATTCTGTTTCTTTCAATACCAGGTCTTGGCGTAATTCCGCTTAGTGCTGCTTTAATGATTGTAATTAAGCTGATAATGAGTATTGGGGCACAGGACACGATCTTTTCTCCAGAAGGCCAAGGTCGGCCCAACACGAATCAACAGTTCTGTTGGACAATATGATGCTTATCTCATGCAGACTTTGGTCTCATAAAATGACAATCACCCAATAATACCTTGACATCGACCTCAGTCATCATAAGAAGAGTCACTGATCTCTTTGAGCCCTTCCCTCTAACACTAGCAACAAATGAAATCACAATGCCATTATCAGTAATCTGATTAAGGGTTATGGCATAGAGCAAACTAGGTAGAGGGACTATATGCCCTCCACAAAAGATGCCTTCTTGAATCTCTTGTGTATATCTGTAAGACTCTGAACTTAGCGACTGCGGATACTCTTAAGTCTGTATTTGTCTTATACTAGCCTATGTAGAGGCTCTCTTAGATTTGCTATCGGTTAACAATGTGGAGGAGCCCACTAGTGTGAGGACTGTGGGAGAAGAGGTGAAAAAGTAAAATAGTAGAAAGACACAATAATGTCTAAGCAAAGCGTTAATGACGCACTGTAATGATTGAGAAAGATAAGTATGTTTGCTAATAGGTTAGTCTATCCTGAATAATTTTATCATATTGGAATCCTTCTACAAACAATTGAATAGGTAAAAGAGGCAATCGAATCCCAAGTGCCCACTGTTCCGATCAATTGCATATCCGCCACATGGAGGATGCATCGCCAATCGACAGCTCTTCTCGATCTGAATTGAAGTCATTTGAAATAATCGATCGTCAAATTGCTCAGTTATATCCAATCACTTCATAAGGACAGTAAATGTTGTTTATTCCTGAGTTCCGCATATCAAGTGAGCCTTGTATTGCTTCTTGCCCCAGCCTCTAACAGCCAGATAGTCAACACTATACCCAAGCATTGACCTTGCAATGGACAGAATAAAATCTCTTCATAATCAGGCAACTCTGCATGCAGATCACATTCACTGAATATGCCGTTCCCTCCATATGCCGATCAACCGTTCCCTACATCCAACCCGGCTCGTTGGCCAACAATGACCACCACAACCGCTATCTACGATCGTCAGATTAAGCGAAGTCCAAGCTAACCGAAGATCGAGTTATCAACTAACCAGCGATAGATCCACCCCCTCCGCAACTCGAACCGTCCACTTGGGTCTGAAACGGAACGGCGGCCGTTGTCCCTCGGCGAGGACACTCCGATCCGTTATCCGATGGATGTACGCCACGTTGCGATTCTGAACCACCACCACCTGGAGGATATTATACAGGTCCTGCGCATGCACCTCCAACACAATCTCCTCGCTTTGCGCTGGCCTCGGCTGCTGCGCCGCATTCTGGAACGTGACAACCGCCCTGGGCGCGTTCATCGCAACCCGCAACTTTGCTTCGAGGATACACTGGTCCCCGCCGGGGAGGCGGAGACACAGCGACGAGGAGTCGTACCATTGGCACCGGAGCTCGAAGAGGGGGAGCCCCGAGCGGTCGTGGAACATGCGTGCCTGGCTGACCTTCCAGGGCTGGCCGCGGACGGTGAAGAGTTCGGTTCCGGCATGTTCGATGGAGTAGTCGAGGGAGTGCCATGGCTCCGGGCGGTTGGTCACGGTCACTATCACTTCATGTCGGGTGATGCTTTCGGGTCTGATTGCGATAGGGTATGGCGGTAGTTGGACTTCGGGGAGGGCATGGGACATGGTGAAATCCTGGCGAGGACATGTCACTCGAGTCGCCGGGCATGGCCATGCTTCTAAGTGTATTGTTAATGAGAAGTTGCATGATTAAGGTAATTGTTCACCAAAAGTGCCATGCAAGGCAGAGTCGGAGGACGCCTTATACCTCCCTAACGGCTGGGGTTGCACCTGTTGGTTAATCTGGTCCATTGATTGGTCAATTCGACCGTTGTTGCGGGGGATTGCTGACGATTAATGCCAGGGGCAATCGCAGCTGTCAAGAGGACATTCAGGAGGTGGCTTGGAGTTTGGAGCTATATAGGGCTAATCTTACGGAAATGTCGATAGTGCGATGCATTATGTTTCAGCCATACCCTTAGATTGAGCTTGAGGTAACTCCAGTATGTAACCCTGAACGGGGATTTATGTCCACTTCAAATAGGTATATACTTATCTAAGGCATATCGATATAGCAGTCCTACGAGTTCACATGCAGGATTACCAGTACGTAGCCCACTTACTGTACCCCCTGACAACCTTGACAAACTCCTCGGCGATAATCTGGTCCGTTCGCTGCGAAGGATGCAACTCATCGAACCACATGAAGGAATCCGGACTGGGGAGCCGGGTGCACTGCCCTCCGTCAAGCGTGCAGTGATTGTTGAACCCGGTCACATTGGCAGGTGCACTCCCGTTGAAATACTTTGTGGGATTGTAATAAACCTCGGAAAGCTGCCAAATCAGTGTCATCCAGACCCAATGGCCAATGCGCAACATACCAATCCATACATGTCCATCACCGCAAACCGCGCCCCGGGATACCTCCTGGCCACCAACAGCTCATACGGCGTCTGGTACTTGAACACATCGTTCACAGTCGCAACCTGCTCCCACATCCGGTGACTGACCAAGGTCAGATTATCGGGCTTGTCGGGCCAGTAGTGGTTGGCCCCCACGCCGCCGTTCTCGGGCGTCGCATACAGGGGTGCCAGCTGCAGGGGCGCCAGGTTCATGAGCACGAAGTATCTACCGCCATTTGCATAGACCCGGTCGAGCACGGAGTATACGCAGTTGATGTAATCCGGGATGGTCTTATTCTTGACCTGGGAATCAGTGATAAAGGCGTAGTTGCCCAAGTCGTTGGTGCCGATCCAGATCGAGTACACCGTTTCCCGGGGTGGGATGTTGAGGAACCTCCTTCCAGAGACTTTATGCTTGCTGTCAGCCAGGAAGGCGGGCACTTCGTACTCCAGAACGGAAGGGAAAGGGGCGTTGATGTAGGAGAATGTGCGTGGGGTGATCTCGTTGGAGCAAACGGCGCCGCTGACGGCGTAGTTGTACAGGTTTACATCGGCGTATTGCGAGAAATAGTGGCCCCAGACATAGCCACCTGATGCGGTATTGTTGTTCTATGCTTCTCAGCAAGCTTCATTCATTAGGGGACAAGAACGTACGTCTAGCTGCTCCCAGCCAACTGGTGGAGCTGACCCGTTATGAGAGCCAAAGTAGTTCAGCCGCGATTGGTCGGTGTAGCTATCGCCAAAGGAAACAAGACTGGTGAACTTTCTTGGTCCCCATGATCGAGGATGAGCAGAAGCTGCTTCGATTGCAAGAATAAGCCCTAGAAGCAATTGCGACTGACGCATGATGACTTTCATCACAGCTTTTGCTTGATTGCATCTCGGGTTGCGGGGAACATCGGGCTGTTTATAAACATTGCCGGAAGAGACAGGGATCTCCGTCCGTCCGGCAGAGAGGAGCCAGTCCTGATCAAGACTGACTGAAGAAAAGATTTCTGCCGTGACGAATGATCTCCGGGGTTCTTTGCGGAGATGCGGGGATTGTGGACCAGCCTGGGTAAATACGTGGATAAATAGGATTGTAATCCAAGGCATTAGTTACCCATAAATCATAATGGGAGATTTTTGTTATTCTGGCGGAAAATTAATTTCGAGTTAGGTTTTTCCCGACTATAGAGAGGTTTATTGTATATCCTCCTCTCAGGTATCTAGAATGCTATTATTATGCTAATCAACTGTAAGCCATAAGTATAGACGACACACTCTAGGCATCAGTTCGTTGCGGCGCCCACAACGCATCTAACCATGTTCAGCGAATCTTACATATGTAAAGGAAGCATCTGGTTCCTACTATCATTTTGCTTCGAGAGGTCGGCCCAATCTAAAGAGGTATATAGTGAAGGTATTGATACTGAAGGATTAGTCTTGTATCTCACGCAGATTCGTGAGGAACGAGACCCAGGGTTCTTCATTAAGCATATAGTGGGTAATACCGCACCATCAATGCTTGTTAATTACTCTGTAGACTATAACTGCCATCATATTCAGCAATCCTCAGTCCATGTAATCCCCCTTGGATCCATTCCAGTGGCGCCACAAACGCCATCTGGCTCCATGAAAACAATTGATTCTTCCCCCCAAAGACAAAGACTTCGAATCTCCCGACAAAGTTCCCATCCACCCAGACTCTGCTCCCTCCAATAACATCTGTGCGAATGATGATCTGGCTGTGGAGAGGGATTTTGACGGGTTCATGCGTGGACGATGTCTCGTTTGTCCAGATTCGTCCCGGATACCCCGGGTCGAATCCAGCGTCTTCGGCGACAGAGCGAAGCGGGTACTCCCATCCGTCGGATTCAAAGGCCAAAGTACCGGATGCGGATAAACTCAGAGTGCAGTCCTCGGAGGACAGCAGGAATGGGCCCGCGACGTCGAGCTCTAGTGTATAATTCATTCCCTTGCTGCCGTGCCCGAGGTGGATTCTTTCTCCTGATTGCTTGCCGGACGTCCAGCTCACAACTGAAGGCGTCCTGTGATTGTTACGGCCAATGAATCTCCTGTCTAGATTCTGGCCAACCGCGCCGGCAGTAAGCAGTTTCGCAGACAAAGACAAGCTAGATTCATCTAGTCGTGGGCCTCGATCGCCTGTCCATGCTCGAGAGGCGACAATCGGGATCCCGTTGCGCATCGCGTAGAAGGCCTCCAGCTGTGTCGTCGCGTCAGGTCCGTTGTCATTCCATGCGGCTAGAATTGCGCCCTGGACTGCCTGTTTGTCGGGTTGCTCCGTGACATTGAACGGGTTGAAGAGCGCCGGGGTCCATTGCCATCCGTCGATGTCGGCGAAGTTCAACACACGCGAGTTATTGAACAAGGATGGATACGGGGCCGGAAATATGGGCATATGGTCGTTTTTCAGCGACATGTACGCCCACTGATCCTCCGAATTGATGATCGTGTACCCATCATTTGCCAGGCTGACAGGATCCGATTGCCCGTATTGCCAGTGTTGAATGATCACATCTTTGGATATAGAAAGCGTATCCGATGGTTCATAAGTACCCCATATACGGATCCGTTTTCCTGACTCCTTCTGGATGAATTGTGCCATCTCATTGACAAAATTGATATAATCATCTGCCAATGTCGCGTCGTACTCGTCCGCCCCGATATGCACTTCCTTTGTGTGAAACCACGGCAGGAATTCACCCCAGACGGACTTCACGAGGGGCACCGCCTCAGGATGAGAAAGATTCAGCAGATCCTTCTTCTCCAGCGCCAGTTCTGGCTTCCATTTGGTCAGAAATAGGCAATGGCCTGGCGCTTCAATCTCAGGAATAACCGTAACTCCGCGCTGCGCACAATGCTGCTCCAGCTCTTCATAGTCCGCTCGAGATAGCGTCTCGTTCGCTCTCTGCACAATTCCATGAAGGTCAGGACTCTCAGGGTGCAATGAAAACTGCGCGTACACCTCGCTCCATGTCTCATTATGGCCCCGATTGAGAGGGTAGTTGTCGCTGGTGTGATAGTGGAACTCGGACATCTTGAAGAACGAGGCGTACGTGCACAGGTCCTTAAGAAAGGCAGGCGAGTACCACTTACGGCCCGCATCGAGCATGTATCCTCGAGTTGGAACAGAGGGTGCGTCCACAATGCGACCACCCGGGAGCGGTTTCCCGTCAGCGATGATCAACTTCTGCACCAGTGTTCGCGTTCCCCACCACATCCCTCTCGCCCCCGATCCCCGGATAACAGCCCGTCGCGGGTGAATCTCCACTTCATATCCTTCCTCTGTTGGCGTGCCATTTTCATAGGTCAGGTTGCAGTCTGTGCCAAGTCTGTCAAGAAAGATGCCTTGTTTTGCATTGAATTGATTGACCTGGCGGAGTGTCCACCGGCTGGCGGTCACCTCCTGTAGATCATGAAGAAAAGTCGTTGCGAATTCCAAAGCAGATGGAGGAATCAGCGTCAATCCGTTTTCGTCCCGATGAGAGGCAAAATCAGCCTTGATATAGATGACTCTCTCCACTGAGCGAACATCAAACCCCGGCAATGGGCCTAAGGCTGTTTGATACACTGGGGGAAGTGTCTGCAGTGCAGCAGTCACTAGACCGAAACATAGGATGATATTTAGATACATTTTTGAAACTGTCCCTAAGCAAATGGCTGACTCTGTACGGAATAAATACAAGCAAGGGTTGCATTGCTGTGGTTGTCGAGGTTACATCGGCTCCCTGCATTCTGGGGATCAACAAACCCATTGTTACCCTATCATTGATTGATAATAGGTATAGATCTCACCCTGAGGACAGTCGTAGTAGTAGTTACATCTTAGTGCGACTTTAATGTTTACTTTCCCCGCACCGCAATCAGAACGGCCCCAGATTGAAGATATTGATGCCATGCCTTCCTAGGAGCTACTTGCCTATATTTATTTTCCTGGCAGGGACATGCTATTCGGATAGTTTATATACAAATAGTTAAATGGATGTGTTTATGAAGAGCATAAACCGCTCAGTCTCGATTCCATGGACACTTGTAGGCCAGCTCTTTTACCGAAGAACATCGAGTAGGACAGTATTCAATCAAAAGCGAATGTTCATTGCGGGGTCAACGTACTGCAGTGCTCTCAGGGTGCTATTCCGCCCACATGGGTTGTGCATTTCTCAACAAGGACATCTGCCACATTCCAAGGCCGAGGCTCTGCAGTTATGGCTCATTACTTTCATCCAATACAGTTCGTGACCAGTCCCCCAGAAACGCCTCATCAGAGGGAAGTAATCAAAATGCATCTTCTTACCGTAAGGCCACAGATATGTCTGATCTCAATGCTTGCTGTCATTCAGCTAGCATTCGCGACTCCCAATGGACGCGACGCGAATACCGACAATTAGCGTAAGTGATACTCCCCGTTTATTCCTGCTGGCTAGCCGACGCGACAGTTCTCCCACATACATTGAGCCATTCCCTCTCGGCTCACCAAGCCGCACGGATGGCTATTAGATCAATTGCATCTCATGGCCGACGGGCTTCCAGGCCACGAGCACGACTTTACCCCATAGTTACAAACAGCCAGTGGCTCGTTGGTGGTACCGACTACAATGACTTGAACAAGGGCCTTCCGTACTGGTTCAACGGGCTGGTTCCGTTGGCGTATCTTACCGAGGACCAGCGTCATAAGAACGAGGTCCGCGGTGTCACTGACTATGTCCTATCGTATCAGCAAAATACGGATCGCTGGGGCCTGAGGCATCCCCCTCCGCGCGGGCCTTCTGGGGCAGATCGCTCATGTTGTTAGGATTGAGCCAGTTGGCAGAAGCGGAGGCGGGGACAGAGCTCGAGACGAGGATTATGGATGCGATGGACAGGTTGTTGATCTGTTGCTCTCGATGCTGTCGGATAATTACCGGGTCGTGCAGCAGACCGATGCCGATGTCGATGATCGGTGACAGCGGGCTCGCGCGGCGGATATGGTGCTTAGTCTGCAGTGGCTGTATGAGCGAGACCTCAGGGCCCAAGGGCAGACGTTCTTGGATTGCATGCGCATGTTACATGAAAATGCCCTGGACTGGGAGCACTGGTATACGGACGGGGTTTACCTCAAGCATGATCAGAACACTATTCCTTCGGACATCACCGACGCAAACGATCCGTTCGAACATGGGGTCAATGTAGCTATGGACTTGAAGAGTGGAGCGGTATTTAGACGCCTGATGCATGACAAAGGGCTAGCCACGCGCGCGCTGCGAGCCGTCAACTGCACTGCTAGATACCACGGAACCGTTTCGGGGTCGATCATCGGCGACGAGCGGATCTCCGGCCTGAGTCCCGCACGTGGCGTGGAGCTTTGTACCGTGGTCGAGACTACGTTTTCGCTGAGCTACCTGTGTCATGCCCTGGGAGACAATTCGCTGGCGGATCAGTGCGAGCTCGCCGCGTTCAATGCGCTGCGCTTCTTGGTCCAATGAGTGTCCAGACGTCAACAAAGTCAGGGGCGCAGGTGAGAATCGTCTGTGATACCGAGTACCCATTTACCCAGCGGCTGGTGTACACCGTCGACGCAGTCGCGCCATCCAACTTATCCGTACGGATCCCAGGATGGTCCGCCCTCCCCACTATTTCAGTTAATGGAGCCCCTCTTCGTGGCGCAGCACCTGATACACAGACCGGCATGCTCAAGACCCCCCTGGATCAAGGCTCATCAGAAGTGATCGTCACTCTGGCTGCAGAACTCCACATGCAACGCCGCGCCAACGATACCGTAGCCATCTACTACGGTAACCTGCTCTACACGATTCCGGTGCAATACACACAAACCTCCCGGCCATATCCGAACCATCCGGGCAACATACGGGATTATGAGATCGACCCCTCTTCCCTACAATATAATGGCTTGACGGGGCTCTGTCCAGTCCTCTCTGGACTCTAGGAGTACCCACGTCCATCACGGCAAAAGTCTGCGAGATCCAATGGGAGTTGAAACGAGGATATGCGCCCAATCCACCCCGCAAAAGCAACCGCACATGCCAAGGTGAGCTGGTCGAAATCGAGCTCGTCCCCTATGGAAGTGCAAAGTGGCATATGGTGGAACTGCCTGTGATGGAGTGACGGGCGTCCGGGGCAGATACCCAGAATGATAAAAGTGGCGTAATTCACATATAATCAGTTCCTTCAAACGGTCATAATCCGATGATTCTCCTGACCGCGGTACTCGTGTTTGGTCACTATATTTATTAATGCGGGGTATAATTGCGACGATCCTCCGCCGGAGCTTGTCTTTGGCGGGAATCGCTGCAGAATCGGGGAAGTCGGATATTGTTTGTCTTACTCTGTTGTTTGTCGCTCGGCTTGGCGAAATGCTATGGCGGCTATGAATTATCCTATTGCTGCATATTCTATTGACAAGTCTGGGCATCGTCAGTTTGGCCCTCCTAGTGTGGATACGTAGATGAACCACCGGGGAAATGACTCGAGGGTTGATACCGTAGGACAGCAACGTGTATATAAAGCCAGAGGTACACCACAGTTCGGTCAATTGCAAAGCTTCACAGAAAAGATGAAAAGCCTCACGACGATCTGCGCGGGTATCCTTGCCCTCCTCGCTCCTACTATGGCCCTCCCCCAGCCTCTCCCTCTAGATCTCCACAAAGCCGACCCAACTAAAGTGGGCTACCTCGACTTCTACTGGAAGACCGAAGATGAGAGCGTCTACCTCGCCTTGAGTAACAACAGTAATCCACTCGACTTCAGGCCGATCAACGGTGGGAAGCCCGTCGTCTCCCCGACCCTGGGCACAAAGGCCGTCCGGGATGTCTCCATCGTGGAGGGCGTAGGCCGCGACAAGGGAAAGTACTGGCTGATCGGAACGGATCTGGATATTGACACTGTTTGTTCCCCTTGCCCGTAGAGTAGGCGTCAGGAGATACTGAGTGTGCTAGACCAACTGGGACAAAGCGACTCGGACCGGATCGCGGGCCATCTTCGTCTGGGAGAGCAGGGATCTGATCCATTGGACCAACGAGCGACTTGTGACGGTCGAGGATGCGACTGCCGGCATGGTCTGGGCGCCGGATGCAATCTGGGATCCGAAAGCCGGTATGTCGCAGTGTACATCTCTTCAATTGAACATGACTAACAGCCTACAGGAAAGTACCTGGTGCACTGGGCATCCAGATTCGTAAGTACCCCTAGCTATATACCATGACTCGATAGGCTGACCAGCTACAGTACGCAGCAAACGATCCTAACCACACTGGCAATCCCACCACCACGGATATCATCCGCTACGCCCACACTAGCGACTTCAAGACCTTCACCAAGCCGCAGACCTATATTGACCATAAGACGAGCACGATCATCGACCTCAGCATTCTCCGCGTTGACGACAACACCTTCGTCCGCTTCTACGTCAGCGGCAAGGTTTCCGGCCCCGTGGTCGAAGTAAGCCGCAACGGCCTGTTCGGTAACTGGGTCACCCCTTCGGGCACTATCCAGGACAGCACCCACTTCGAGGGCCCGTATCCCTTCTGGGACAACGTGCAACCCGGCAAGGCGTATCTGGTTTGCGACAAGGTCGGCAGTGTCACCGGGTTGTCGCCATGGGTGTCAACGGATGTGACTTCAGGAACGTTTACGCCTGCTTCTGGTGGTAACCTGGGTGCATTGAGACATGGCTCGGTGTTGTCCGTTACCCAAAAGCAGTACGATGCTTTGGCTGCTCTAGGTTAGTAGCCAGCTGAGAAATTACGGCATCGGTTCGTCAATGATGTTAGGCCCAGCTATATATTGTTCGCGATAAGTCCTCGATGAGAAATGAAATGAACACATATAGTCCCCTGCACAGGACATATTAGATTCTCGCATGATTGACTTCGGTGCTAAATTAACTCAGCCACAGTCTCAGACGCGTCATGTATCATCACGACTGCGAAGGTCGGGGGTAGCTTCACTTGATAGTCAAAGTAAAATCATTTTATCGTTTAAAGATGAAGGTAAAAATTACTCGCACTCAAATTCGAACTCACTTATCATGTCGTTGTACTAGAGCCAAAGGAAAAGGGAAAAAAGAAATGCTCACAAGCGGATTTGAACCGCTGACCTCATGATTACTAGTCATGCGCTCTACCAACTGAGCTATGCGAGCTGATTGGTTGGTCACTGCTTCGTTTTGTGATACAGAAGCCAAGCTACAGTATCTGCGTGTTGATGTGGCAGGATTCAGAACATCTGTCAGCTGAGTTAGAAAGATGTCTCGACAACGGTTTTGGATACTGTGGAAGCCTAATGTGACCTCTGACAGCAGATTTCTGATCCGCTCGACTTTTTATCAAGCGTGGAATGTGGGACATGCAGATCATCCACTAACGTTAGATATAATCATAGGTCGCACTGCAATTCTATGCATTCCGGTCAGACAGGAGGCATTGAGATACTATTTATTAACACTTCAAATCAACTCATGGAATTTAATGTCATTCGCTATTCAGAAAGAGAGTAAATATTCAGATTGGATCACGTGTACCATGTCACTGGACATACGCGTCGCGACTTCTCCATCAACATTGCCCCTTCATCCCCCTTCGCATCACAATACTGCTCAACTCCACGATAATTCTCGCTATGGCTGGGTCTGATGCTGCGTACACGTTTGATCCCGTCGTTGACGAGACCTCCAGTGACGACAACACTGTTGGTCACGACATAAATTGGAGCAATCTCAATCCGGCAGACTTCTTCGATAGCCTCAGTCCTAATCTTCCTAGACCAACATCTTACCCGACTGCGGATTAAGTCCGTCAAGAAAGCCGCAAAAGAGCGACCAGAATCTTGTCCGACTGGGAAACACTGAATAAGATCATCGAACGGCATGAAGAACGGATTCAAAAGCGATGGCGCCAGAAGACCAAGACCAAGCGTCGTCAGATCCTTCTCTCCGCGTGGCCGAACATGTCCAAGATGCACAGGCCAGATTTTGACGCATTCAAAAAGGGACGCCGCGAAGAGTCGAGGGAGGCATATATGTGGCCTTATATCAATCTGGAGGACCTGGAACAAACAAGACTGTTGCTCCTGCTCCTCAATGCTCGCGCTCGGCACCAGCCAGATTGTTTTGCGCACGCAGACTACCATGCTCCACATCTTGGGCATGGCACAGGTGCTATCCGCTCTGCTTTTCTCAACCTGCATACCATGATGTTCACTGGTCGGACAACACCGGAAACATACGGAGAGCTGATTGCTTGGGACGATGATGATGACGCATCTTCGTGGCTTCATAATGGTAAAGGTTTCCACCCCGGCCATGGGCTAGTACTTCTGGAAATACAACAGCGGATCTACGAATTTCTTTTAGATTGTACCCGTCAAATACTCCACGATATTCCTGAGGCGGCCTTGATCAAGGACTTCCCTGTACTCCCCAAGCCCGCAATTAAAGATGACGGAGACTGGCATTCCCTGGCTGCAGTTGCAACAGATGCGCCTTACCGTCTACCCGCGCAGCTCGACTTGTCCTCTCTAGAAGACATTATCGATGCTAAACGCTCGGCTATGGAGGATCATCTTATAGCGTTACGGGAGGATCCGGGATACTTTGCAGACGTTGTCAATGAGTACAAGGAACATCGCGTCGAGATCATACCAGATACTAACGGCATCCCGCATCCGACATTGGCACCTCATATTCAGCCATTATTCTGGAACCGGGTTCTCCAAAACGTCGTGCCCGAAGCTTACATGAACCTGGAGATCTGGTCCACGCTCCATTCTCTAGTTGCCGACCTGCGTCAGCTACTTTCCAAATATCATGACAGAATATCGCCGGAGAAAGACCTGCCTACGGACCTCTATAACGCGTTTGTAGAACTGAAATATATCCTGGAACAGTTTACTATCGGCCCAGCCAACCAGCTCAAAATAGCAGCTCCAGCCTCCCCTCCATTGCGATCACTCTTTGTTCGGCAACCACAACAGTCGGGCACTTCGAAGATGATTGCAGAAACCCGGGCGAATGTATCAAGGTCCGAGAACCAGGGGGGGCTGCTTTGGATTCTTGAAGCGCTATGGGGGGATAGCAACGTGGTGTTTTTGGCCGGTCGGAAAACGCTCATGGATGAGCTCGAACGTCTCGTTCAAATGGACCCCAAAAACAAGGAGCTCGTCTCGAGTCGAGTTGCCAGCATCATTTCAGACTTGGCAGTGATGTCTGAATGTCTTCATCAAATTGAGCTCTACCAACCGTGGGCGAGTACATTCGAAAATGGGTTTGTCGAACGGCGAGACGAGATCCAGAAAGAATACAGCAACCTAACCAGCGGTTGGGATAAGTACCTGGTAAGCTTCGAGGGGACTACTCTAGCCAAACTTGGATCGCCCGAAGATGGTCGATTCCATTACCCGGCCGAAAAGCGACGGAATCGTGAAAATGTCGAACAAATGAGAGCCGCGGAGAGGGACCTGGATGCGTTCTGGCGTGCGGTGGATTCGCATTTGCCAGTGACCCGTGGAATGACTCGACGCAACGCTGTGTACAAGGTACTTGCGAGAATTTCTGGAACGATCCAAAGAACGCCTGCCTGGGTAGAGCCAGAGAGGCAACCTGCCAAAGTGAAAAACGTGGGGAAGAGTATTGCAGATCTCCAATTTGAACTGGTACATCGAACCGAGAAGACCATCGAGCCGGCTACTGCTTCTCTACCCAAGAAGAAGGCCAAATCTCAAGGAAAGCCCAGTATGTCCGACAAAGCCGTCGAACCCGACGTGCCCGCCGAAAATGGGTATGATGTTCAGCCAACGTTCAAGGTGGACAAGCGGTCTTTGAAAGTTTTCTCCACACTACTTTACCAGCCTTCGCAAACAGCTCAGCCGGGTGAGATCCCGTGGAACGATTTCCTTCACGCTATGGGCACTACGGCTTTTACGGTGGAGAAGCTCTACGGCTCGGTCTGGCAGTTCACGCCGAGAAATCTCGACGTCGAACGCAGCATTCAATTCCATGAGCCGCATCCTATTGCGAAGATTCCCTTTCGGGTCGCAAGGCGAATTGGAAGGAGGTTGAGTAGAGCTTACGGCTGGCACGGTCAGATGTTCGCATTGGCGTAATGCTGCCTCTCTAGGCGAGGATAACGCATTGAGTGCCGGCCACGACTTATCACCTTAGAAACCCGTGAGCTATTCTGCTTCTGTGAGCGCAGCTTTTATGCAGCTGAAGTCCCTTGTTTTACGTACGCAGTCTCAAGCGAAGGCGGCTCGTAAGGGATTATTTATGGAAAGAATCTGAAGAGAATAAGGTACAGCGATATGTCTACCGCGTAGAGACCGAATATCTGTGCATCAGAACTCCCCCTCAACGCCAATGCCACATTGACCACATATCCAAAAACGAGGCTGTCGGGGAACAATGTCAGGGTCGTATACTTGATTCCGGCTCCATGGTGCAAACCCCGGACGCAGAATGTATGTATAGCTAGCTCCCCAGTGTCGAGTCCGTGAGTTGAAACATCGTAATCTCATCTACCACGGCCTTCGCAAGCCAAAAGCCTGCAGGAGTACTGTATTTAAGATTGCCATATATATATCCGTCGAGTCCACCAGCCCTTATTGCAGCTTCCAGGCTATTACCAGGTTTGCATATTTCAAACAGCAAGTGACTGATTGCAGTTTTGCGTTCTGTCCGTCAAGGAGCCCGTCAAGATATTCGCTCGATAGAGAACAGTATAAGCACGGCTTCACAAGTTCTCGCCTCCGTGGCAGTAGTAATATGCCATCTGGTCATCCATGATAGTATAATGGTAAGGGTGGTACATCCCCCGTTTGTGCCGCGGGAGATGCAGAATCTCCTCGACTCCGCATAGGCGTCTTCAGCACTTTCCGGTTATTTGATCACCGGTAAAGTTGCTAACCGGCAGAAGTATCCAGCATTTCAAGCAGAAGAAGTGGTTCTGTATCTAGAGAATGTAAGTGTAAGATACTTCTATGTCCTCTGGACATTGCATGGTTCGTTTGAAGACCCTACTCACTTCGGCCACATTTTCAGCGTCATCTAGTATATGCTAAAGTCCTCAGACTCCAAGTGTTTTGGGTTCTCAACGCTTCTGTTTCTCAACAGCCGTTGTATAGCTCCTGCGTGAGGTGCAATTACGAGACATGCTAAGGAGGAATCACTTCCTTATCCGGATTGCACGATGTTGTCCATTCTGCAGATTATGATGAGCACTTATCCTCAACAGAGCAGTTCGGTAATTCAACTCACATTCAGACATGCAATCAAATCCCTTGCCAGCCAGCTTTCTCCTCCCATTTCTGTGACAATAAGCACTTGCAACCACTACTCACCACCAGATCCAATCCAAAAACCAAACCAAACCAGACTTCAAAATCCAAAACTCAAAGGATAGAAAACTCACCGCGCAAGCCCAAACTCCCCCACAAGCGCCCACCCTTCCATCCTCCGATCCCTATCCCAATACCTCATCTGATGGAGAATCACCCCCTCGGCACTCGTCCAGATAACCCCATCCGTCGCGGCCGCAGCCGTAAACGCGAGAATCAAATCCCCCGTTTTGGCGCCGTCGTAGCGCTGGATCGCGTCGATGGAGGAGTAGACTTTTGCGTCGCGGGCGCGAACCTTGTCGAGGCATTGTTGGAGGAGGTTGTAGGATGGCCAGGGCTGGTCGGGGAGGTTGGAGAAGACCATGCAGTAGTTGAAGGAAGTGTAGAGGGGGTGGTTGATGGCCGTGTGGTTGGTGTTTGTGGGAGGGGTTGCGGTCAGGTAATTCATTCCTAGATTGGGTGTGTTATGCATGGTGTGGTCCATGTTGGTGTAGAAGGTCTGGTCCATACCGTTGTTGAGGGTGGGTAGGCTGTTTGGGTTGTAGTTTGGTGCGTTGTTGAAGTTGTTCATCTTGATATGGCAGATGCTGTAGAGTCAGTTGAGTAGGTAGTGTAAAGAAGAGATAGTTGATGAGTTGCTTTCCTGTCCAGAGGCAGCAGAGGTATTTATATTACAGACTAAGACATATTCCTAGACAGTCTCTGTTAAACATGGCAAAGACAATGGCTTTGTGTATGAATAGTTCGAGACATCCTTTGTCACAGTAAGACACTTATCGCAAAGATGCTTTGTGGAAGAGTCACAGAACAATAAATCATGTCTCTGTAGGACAACAACGATGTCATTATATATCTGAAACTCGCCGGAGCTCCGATATAGTTTCAGGAGTGTCTTTATGAATGGTCTTTGTCGCGTGGATCAGCGTCAGATCTCAAAGCTGAGAACTAGACGAGGGGTTTCCAAGGAAAGTGCTATTCCTTGAAGACTTACGGCTTTCTGCTCGCCTTACAAGATACTACTTGAATAAGAAAGCCACATGGGAGAGTACAGCTGAAAGCCTCTGCATAGATTTCAGATTGTCATTGTTGATTGTCTCAATTCGACGAGCTACGTCAAAATAGATGGACTCCCACATCTAAATGTCCATGACAGACTACCATTTACGCCTGAAGGTAGTAGCCGCTACTGGCTTTCTGTCAAAGGCTATGAATCTTGCACATTCTCCGGCTCTTCCGGAATCGTGGCAAACTTGTTCAAAACTTGTTTCAGAGCAGGACGTCGGATGGGTTTACTATCTCCGTTAGTATAGTCTTTTCGTCAAGATGAGGTAGACATACCTGATGAACATGTCCATGCCCGAGTCCATGCAGTCTTTAATATTACTTTCTTCCGAGAAAGCGCTGAGGGCAACAATCGGCGCCGAGTAGCCCATGCCCCGGATGAGGCGGGTGCTCTCTAGGCCGTCGAGGTTGGGCATCTGCCTGTGTCAGCTGCGCTCTTCTACATAGTGACGGTTGCATATACCTGAATGTCCATGAAGATGAGATCAAATACTTTGCCCTCTTCCATATTTGCCTTGACTGTGTCGTAGGCTTCTTGGCCGTCTTTGACGACCGTTACATCATATACTTCTTCTAACCGAAGCATTCTGGAAGGCGTTAGCATTGTCTTTGGAGATCCAGAGGATGACATACCGAAGGACCACCTCCTGGTTCACTACGTTGTCCTCAGCCACCAATACGCGCACCTTGCCAGATGTGCTATCTTTCACTTCTGGTTTCGCTCCATCAGCTGGAGGAGCTCTGGGAGTCGACGGTGCGGGGGATGACGGTGTAGGGGTAAAGAACGGCTGACTGAGTCCGACAAGTCGAGGTTGCAGATCCTGCTTCTCGAAGTTGGTCAACGGATCGCTGCGAACGGAGCCATTGTTCGACGGCGGTCGCGCGAGACCAGGAAGATCGTCAAGCGAGAAAACGCTAGGTGTGCGCGATCCAGCCGCACTGGAACTGCGGGTACTCGGCGCTGCCTCCTTGACGAACTTCAACGGAATCTCCACAGTAAACAAGGCGCCTTTGCCCGGCTCGCTTTCTAGGGTGATCTTTCCATTCATCAAGCGAGACAGCTGCGCGCAGATACTGAGCCCCAACCCGGTACCTCCATACTTTCGGTTCAGTCCGAGATCGCCCTGTACAAAGGGCTCGAAGACGCGTTTCTGTAAATGGAGGGCAACGCCAGGACCATTATCCTCGACCTCAAACTGGAAGATCAGAGTTCGCAACTGCGAAAGCACGGGAGTGGGATATTCTTCCTGAACCAGGCCGTCCACAGGGTCACGTGGCTGAGAACTGGCATGCGAGGGTGGTCGGGATCGCAGTCGCGAATTGCGTCTCGAGTCCTGCAGAGAGGTTCTGGGACTGCCGGGGGTTTCCGCTTCCCGGATGCATTTGATGCGAACCTCGACCTTGCCATGCTCGGGCGTGAATTTGAGACTGTTGCTGACCAGGTTGATCAAAACCTGAAGGATACGATGTTGATCACCCCATAATACCATGTCCCTCAACCGACCAGTCCCTGGTGGACCAAGCGCGGGGCCAGCCGGTAGGAACGTCTTCTCCTGGAAACCATCGCCCTTTGGCGGGAGGGTATCACCGCTGATAAAGTTGACATTGAAGTCGATGTGTTTTTCCTGGACCTGATTCTGGAAAATGACCGCCAATTGAGACCGGATGTCCGACAATCGAAATTCCCGCTCTTCTAGCCGAATTGCTTGGTCGATTTGGTTCTTACTAAAGGTCAACAAGTCATTCAAAAGATGCAGTAAAAGATCCCCCGACTTGTAAACGACCTGCAGCGACTTCTTGATCCTTGGAAGATCGTCTTCGCCCATACACACTGCACACATGCCCAAAATGCCATTCAGCGGAGTCTTGAGCTCGTGTGAGATATTGGCGATGAACAATGTCTTGCTCTCGTTAGCAGTCTCCGCGGCCAACTTGGCGGCTTCCAGCTCGCGAGTTCGTTCCGCCACTCGTTCTTCAAGCCGATGGTAATGGATCGAAAGCTCGTCCGACATCTCGTTGAAAGTGCTCGTCAGCTCCGTCAGTTCGTCTGTGATGAGATGCTTGCGCTCCTTCACTCGGCCGGGAATCTGGAAAGCTCTGGCGTGGTTGTGACTGCCATTGCTGTGTGCGCTGTTGGGCCGGTCCTTTCGTCGGAAATGTTTCACCCAGGCTACGAAACCCTTCTCATCCATGTGGTCGTCAAAGGTACGGGGCTCCGTCTCCATCTCGGCGGTTCCTACAATGTACGGTCCGCTGGAGGGAGGGCAATTATGCGGAGGCTGGGACGGGGGCTCGATCGACTTGCGAGTGGCTTCACTCAACCGGCGAATCGGGGCCACGGCCAGATGGGTGAGCGGAGGAACGATCAGGATAATGAACCCTATAGTCCCAAAGACGCATGCCAGAATGATTTTCCTGAGCTTGTTGATCGGGGCGAATGCCTCCGCCTGTGTCTGCTCCACCAATAGGATCCACTGTGCCATCGGCGTCTTGGGCCGGATCGCGCCGACCGCAACCTGATATCCGTGTTCGTTTCTGGTTGACAGATCGCTGATCGTGTCGTTGGACTCCGCCCACGGTTTCGACAGGAGCTTCCATGCCAGCGGATACCTAGACAGGGCAAAGCTATTCATGCTCAGGTTGCCGCCGTGCCTGCTGCTCTGACCGGGAAGTGGAGTAGGCTCGAACACGTAGTGGACCTCGGCGTGAGAAAGTCCTTCCACGTTCGGGGCAGAGGTCGCTGTGGCCGGGTAGGCGTCCGGGGCGAACTGATTGGCCGCGCGGGATGGACCGAGCAGGAGAATCTGGGCCGTGTGGCCCAAGCCATCGCGGGAGTTGATCGTGGCCTGCAAATTGGCGGCACTGGCGACGACACTGTACGCAGTCAGCAGGGCGTACCTAGTGTCTCTCTATTCCAGGACTGCCTACGTCATGTATCCAAGTATGTCAGTGGCGGAAGTATTATTGATGATGGGCACTGTGACTGAAACGAGGGAAAAGGAGCTGTTGATCGGCAGCGGTCCAAGAAGAAGAGAAGTGTCAAGTCCAAGCTTGTAGTCCGAAAAGGCGTACACATCGGTTGTGGTGCTGCCGTCGGAGGCTGCGGAATATGTCAGATTAGGGTAGAGCGCGGGAGGGTAACCGAGTCCCTCATCCCCTAGCATGACAGGAGTGCCGTTCGGGTAGGTGTAGGGAAGAGGGATATCGACAATATCTTTGGCGGTGACATTGAGCAATCCGTGTTGATCTCCTTGACCATCCCGAGAGAAAATGATGGCTTGATAGAGGTCCAAGTAATTGTTACTGCCCATTGCCGACTGCACATCCGTAACGGACGAGGTCCAGTTTGAATCACTCGAGTTCCCATTGTAAAAACGACCGAGAGCACCCTGGATCAGCAGTCGAGTGACGATGGTTTTGCATGTCGATTCAAGCAGTTTGAGATTGGAAGCAATCTGGCTGGCTTTGATTTTTGCGACCAGCTCGAGTCCTTCGGATCTGGAGGGTAAGTACAAAGAAGGCGCGAGTGAAGGCTGCTATCATCTTACTGGACATCGACCACAAAATTGTAGTTATTAACCCACTGCGACGATTAGTCTTGTCCTGAAGGATGATCGGCGACCAGAGAGCTCACCGTAGCGATGGACAGCACGGCCAGGCCCACTAGAGCGGTCACAAGGACCAGCAGGCCGAGCTGCACGGCAATTGGGATGCGCATCCAGAGACAACTCTGGCCGGTCGTCCAGAGAAGGCCGGCTCAGCTCATCGTTTTGATTCTGACGAGGGTAAGGGAGGAGAAGAGATGAGAAAGAAGATGAAAGGAGAAGAGAAGTGGAAACAGAGGAGATGGAGAAGATGGAGAAGATGTTGGAGATGGGATGTCCCAATCGGGATTAGCGATTACTCTGCTGTAACTGTCAGACTGTCAGACAGAGCTGAGAGTCTGGAACAAAGAATAACGAGGCCGAGAATCCGATAACCGAGTCCAGAATAATCAGACAACCAGGTTTTGGATCGCCGTTAGAATAACGGTAATCCATACTTGGGGTCTGATCTTGAGTACATAATAATGCTGATGGAGATGAGCTGGTCGCTTACCGAGGAGGACAACAGAACAGGGAGGCCAGATCAGGGCAGCTGTGGATATCCACTGACTCTGCCTTGGAAGCAGGTATTACAGCGGATCACCTACAGCGAATAATCGCCAGGAGAAAAAGCCTTCTGGGGTCTGGACTGGTCGTGACCCATCAGTCAATCTAAGCTGTTGGATTTTTCTTTCTTCTTTGGCTGCGGGCCGATCCACTGCCTCAGGCTGTCAGGCCCGCCAATCAGGTGTAGACATTACTAATTATTTGCATCACGTGCTTTCTAGGGACTGTCTCTCTCTGATACATCTTCGTAGTACATCTCCATCTACGACTACTTGGCTACCGCTCGACTGAAGGTAGCCAAAGCAGGTTCCTCACCTTTAGAAGTCCAGGCCAGGGTAGCGCCTGGCGCTTCTTCCAC